AATTTTACTTATAATAAATTGTAATATATTTTAAATGTGCACATTCCATTAATGCAAAACATACTTCTCTTGTTTTGATGCTTTTGTTTTGAGTAACAATTAGTTGAAAACGTACTGACTAACGTAAGATGTACTATGTAATGTTTAAGCCTTTCAACTTTTAACCTAATAATCATTGGTTGATGCTATTAAAATTTTAAGACAAAATTCATATCGGGTTTTGTTATATTTTCTTTTTTTAATCCAACATAATGAAATATTAATTAATGTAATGAAGTATTTGCGAGGCTTTCGGCCGTAGAACTTTCAACTTGAATGGAGAAGTTATGTTCTGCGTCAATGGAGAGTAAATTTATTTAATTCTTTTTTCAACAAAGCACTAGGTTTTCTGGATCATTACACGTACTTTTTGACGCCGAATTTCTAGTAACTAAGATTAAAATCGCTACTAATATACATTTTTACAAAACTTGAAGATTCTAGTGAACACTACGCGGGTCTGTTTGTAAAAAGCCATCTATCAAATATATTTATTATATATTTGATAATTAGATCAGGCAAAATAATGAATACTGAGAAGAATAGAATAAGTATATTAATATAGATTTCTTATATTTTCACGCGTACTATTCATTAAACTATTTTGAACGGCTGTAGCGCGTCTATATTTGATTTCATGACGTTTCGAACCTTTTAAATTCCGTGTTTACTTAAAACTTAGTAATTTAAAAAGTACATTAAATTAAGAACACACGAGTCTTGTTGCCAGAAATTAATAATTATATGCTTCCATTTGTAACCTTTTGCTTTCTTGAAATTAAAGAAACTATGCTAATCTATAATGTAACTTTATGTATATTTGATAGTGAATCTACTGGGAGAAGTAAGTGTCCATAACTTTGTGATAAAACATTACGTTTTTCCATTAAAAAAAAAATACTGCTTCGATGTTTTTTCGTCTGTAGTTTCAATAAGAGAGATTATTTGTATATGATTTTAGATGTTTTTTTTTAATGTTTACTATTATTTTATGGTGACAATTATGAAATATAAAAATTAATATAAATTATAGTTTTACTTTAATAATAATGAACAGATTTATTTATGTTGATATTAGATTCAGGAGCATTTTGATCCAACGAAAACCTTGACTAGTAGAGTCGCAGTTCTGTAGTTTGTGACAAATGTATAAAAAAAAAGTAAATAAAGAACATAAATAATAAAAGTCTTTCATTTTATGATACAAATAAAACTATGACAGAGCACTCAAAGCTTTATTCAATACTAGGATATGTGATTTGATAACACGGCTAAAATTTGTCAATAATGAACTATCAATTTATATTTTCCTTGTTAATTACTTTTTTATATAATATTATTGTCCTATTTTGGAAGACAGGTCACAATTTCACATACAATTTTAATAAAAAAAAATAAACAATATTTGCAAAACAACAAATTTATTTATAATAAATATAAACTAGTAATTATACACTAAAGCAACAATCACATTAAGTTATATTCAGAATAACACTCTTCAAACTGATTATTTAAATATTTATCTCTATAGAGATTATGGTGTGAATTGGAAACCTAAGAAGCCACATTTATACCAAAATAAATAGAATTGGTAGCTTATATACCTATTTTAAGATATTTTTATTGGTTCGTAGTTTATTATGTAGTATTTTCGGAAAAATGTAATACGGAGTTCATTCAATTGGTCTGAAACTAAGGTTTCGATCCATAAGTGTCCGAAAGATGTCATGTTAAATATTGCAAATGTTTTATTTATTTGTGCCACTATTCCTTACCAACTGCTAAGGGACATATGATAAATAAATATAACGTTTTAAACTTGTCCAAAAGCATATTCGCTGCAAATATGGGAATTAATTGTCTTCAAATTTACCGAGTTTTGCAAGAAAAATAAATATTAAGTTATAGATATTTAGTTCTGAATAGACTTTATTGTGATTTATGAACAGTCCCCCTAAATTTTCAGTATTCCTAAATCACATCCGGACTCAACTTTGCTTCTTATTTCTACTTTTCCATAAAATATTTAAAATCTGCTTAGAGAGTGTTATTAAGAATAGAGCGGATTGTACAGATTATTTAATTAATTACTAAGCTGAGCAAAATCCACGGTTGCATGTACACAAAATTTAAGTAGCGCATACCTCGATTTTTTTAAAATTCATTAATTACAATTTATATAATTGCAATTTAATTATACACCCATTAAAATATGCATCAGTCTAAGAACTACTATGTATATTGGAGCCACAGGTTTAGAAACCGTACCCCCTTCCTAATAAATTATTTTATACATAAATTGCACTTTTATGCCGTTAGGCATTGAGTAATTTATTATCTTTTGTTCACATCATTCCAAAGTGAGTGTCAGTTCGTGGGAAAAACTCAAACAACTGTCACAACTACACAACGCTTACTAATTGCTTATTAGTAAGGCATTCATTTTCATATACAGTCAACAGCACATCGGATTATTTAGAACTGACAAATTTCTCCTCTTTATTCTAAACCTTACGATTTATGAGTTAAAAATCAACTGCGAAAATTTTACATATTGTGGTAACCTGATATGCAGCCTTGTGTACATATAAATAAATTTACAACTTTTAAAAAAAGTCGAATGAGGGTAGTTGCATTGTAATAGACGACGCTCTTATTATTGTAATTTTTTATTCAGAAATAGGGATGATGACTAATTTTTGTTTGTTTGTCCGTCAGTTAGAGTGTTAAAAAATATTAAACACGTATTTTTTTTTATTTTTTTCGTAATCATAAAATTACGGCGTTACATTGAGTTGAAATTTCGCATGACGTCACGTTAGAGTACGTTTTCTTCTCAACTGTGACGTAGCGAGCCCCCACTCCTCAACTTTAATGCCTGTTATCTAAGCTATTTCTTGTTAAATTAAAGTAAAAAAAAAAATACGTATCTAATATTTTTCTATTATCTGACTGACGGACTAAATAGAATTGCATTTCTTTTACCCAGTCATCATCCCTATTCCTGAAGACATTTAACTTGGTTACAGCAAAGTGCAATTCGATTCAGTAATATTGTAGGTAGTATAATTATAATACAATGAACTCGAATAACACATACAAAATCTTTGCGTACAAATAGTTTATTAGTAGTGGGGTAAGTTTGATAATATTAAAAAGTACAACCAAAACGATATTAACGGCTGCCTTATTTATAATATGAATGAATGAATTATTTATTCTGTTACAAACATGAGACAAAGATAATACACACAAACTTTACTACCATCAGAGGTTAATCCAATAAAACCATACTATTTCAGATTCCTAAGTACACGAGGCCTTGGTAGTAATTATAAAATGTGTATGGAATGTTATAAATTCAAGCAAGTATTACTTCTATATGGCACCAATTTATACTTATTAGTTTTATAATCGAAAATCTATAATATTTATTGATAATAGATATATTTTAATACTTACATTGTTGTGAGCTGATGATCAAGTCTAGTATAACTGTTAGATTTCACAATATTATAGTGTAAGTACATTTTATCTTTAACTAAGCATGCTTATTCGCGTTTCGCTTTCTAAAACTAATAAAGTAAGGCAGTTATTCAGCAGTAACAAAACTCGTATACAACTATAAAAACACTTAAAATAGCATACAAGTCATCATGAGGCCAGAGATCACTGTACAAGCGCAAAATATATTTTAACAATAAATTAAGCAATTAATTAATAAAGAATTACAATAATTATTCCTAAAATTATTTTTTATCCTCACTATATTTTGTTTTATTTTAAACACCTTACCTTAAAAAAAAAAGTATAAAACTAGATACTTTTAAAAATATTTCATAGCGATGACAGGTACACTCAACATTACATCTGATCTGTTAAACTCCAATCCAATGCCGTGTGTACGGGTTTTCAAATAAACGATAAGTCGGTAAACAAGAATAATAAACAACATGTTACTTTAATATTGCACACTAAAAGCTGCATTTACTGCAGCGTTTCTGCACCTTTGGTCGCGGGCACTGTTGGGACGAGTCGCGGGTATATTAAAATTGAACGTATAATATTTATAAGGACATCAATTTAAGTAAACCGCCACTTTAACTAAATTCAATCATGTTATTACTTTTTATATTAACTTAGAAATGATGAATAGTTAAAGAGCTTCTTCAAAGTAACTAAACAATAATTAAAATACAATCCGCACGACGAAATCAATCCCATCTTTCCATATTCCAAGTAGTTAAAAAGTTAAGTAAAGTTCTAAGTATTTAATACTAATATTATGCACGAAACTTGAGACTACTTTTTGGTTTTTCACCAATGGCCTTAACGCAAACATTTGACAGATCATACAAAATTTCGCTCGTTGGTTTTTTTTGCATTTTACTCTTAATGACGCCTTCTTTCTTAAGTTCCAAGAATCTTTAAGTTCCATTTTCGCATGACATAAATTCTATAGTAACTGCCCAATATCAGAGCTAGAGGCACTGTTATAAATATTCTAAATGATTACAACAACTGCCATCTATATCTAAATAGATATATCAATTTTTATAATGACTTGCGTAATTATAAATCCGATTCTAAAACAGAGAAAATTAATCAGGTACAGTCATGGACTACACCTGCGTTGCGTCTGCTCTTCGATCGACACCAGAAAAATAATTTCGTTTCTGAATAAACAAAACCCAAATGAAAACGTTCTAAAAAAATAAAGTCTTATGAGCTAGTTTATATATGAAACAGGTTTCCAAGCCCTGATGCGCTCATATACGATTCGACGAATACGACTGTTTGAGTTTCATATACTATATTCGGGGATTCCCCCAACTTGCTGTATATCGAACAATGAGAAAAAACCTTGAGGGTAGATCTAGAGCAGGTTAGAAGTTGTAATTAATAGTTCGCAATACAAAATCAATAAAACAAATTAATGATTCATACCATGAATGATATGTCTACAAGCTGTTGGGAATAGTATCCTTGTATTGTTTCTCTCGTCTCCAACTGAGAAGATCGTCGAGGAGAGCTTCTAATAATGGGTTACCACCTAACGCCGCTACCTGTGAGAAAAAAAAACAATTAGACAATCTACTTTTAGAATGTATATATATGACACACTCCAAACTCGAAATCGCTTATTGAGCGAAAAAAAAGTTCAAAACACGTTGTGGCAATCGAAGAATAACCACATAGTGAAATCATACGGTTAGACCACTACGCGTTGTGGCAAAGAAAAGCCACGACGCATTCTGAGTATTAATCGATTTAACTAGCTGTTCATTTTACAATAGCCATTCGCTTCTGGCATTTCGTCTTCTTTGCTGGCTCGTGCGTTGTTTGTCTCTAGCCTTTTTTACGGGAGAAATGCGTTACGCATGCTCCTCTGACCTCATGAGTTATGTGGAATTCTCCCAGGCCCACCATAAGAATGGGGGTTAGTCAAAAGCAGGGGAATACCCACTAAAACCAACCGATGTCCCTCACGATACAGGCGAGGCCTGATAACAGCCTCGAATGGGGCTATATCTCGCGCAGAAGCCCGTGTTTCGGTACACCACTTTTACAGACTCGGGAACATGCGAATCTAACTAATTGAATATAGTTGAAACCATGAAGCGTATTGAAGTATATTAGGTTAGTTATTCTAAATTAATTTAATATGGTTCGATACGTTTCATGATTTTTCTTCATTGCCACAATGCGTTGTGGTCGAATAGCATGACAACCACGACATTTCGCTATGTAGATATTTTACCGTGAACACAAGGGGTTGGGAAGTATTTTTTTCAATGAGTGATTTCTTTCTTTACGTAACATGTTACGTTAATTACAAAGTTGAGATGAGATTTTGAAGAAACTAATCTATATGTTTTATTAAATAAAAACAACTTGTATGTAGGATACGCTTTTGTGAAGGCAAGTAGTAAGAGACATACAAGTGTAAATGTATGACCCTCCATATTAGATATTATCTAATGCATATTTTTAGGGAACACGTCGGGAACGGCAAAACCGAAAAATAGTCCACCAGATGGATATTTCGTCACGCACTAACACAATATACCGAATGATAAATTTAAAGTTTTTAATTAATTGGTCAATTAGCTCGTTGGCGAGTGGACAAGCCGGGGACCGCGACCGTTGTTACTTTCGCCAAGGTCGGCCACGGGATGGGTGAGCGAAAAATTACTATCTCGAGATCCGTGCTTCAGAAGGCACGTTAATCGGTCGGTCCGGGCTGAATTTTCAGGACTTTAATACCCTCCAATTCACCACCATTCATAAGGAAGGCCCGAGACCCTGCAGTGGAAATGTAAAAGTGCTGATGATATATACGCGACCTCTGCCCGCGCCTGCGCGTCTAGTTCCGCGAGCGTGTCCCTCGTGTAGGCGAAGCTGCCGAGCCGCTCCAACAAGGATATGCAGTAACGCTTCACCTCCACGTCGTGGGTGCGCTGCCTCAATATGTCTGCACAATGTGCTCAGGTATATTATCCACTTGAACGTTCAAATCGCGAAATATCATCAAGCTACTCAATGGAGTATTCTACTCTGTTTTAAACAATACTTGTAACTGTTTATATTAATTTAAATAAGCCATAAAACAAATATTTCTTGTCATCAAATACCCGCAAAAACGCATATTCATGACGTCATTCTGATATGAACACAAAACAAATGCATAAATGATTAAAATATGTCAATAAAACAAGAACAATGCCATCTCACGATCGATTAAGAAATAAAAAGCCATACATACCTATTAGGTTAAGAACACCCGTCTCGGAATTTGATTTATAATTAATAGGCATATCTTTATAACTAATTTGACAGCTGTCGCCACAGTGACGTGACACAATGGCGACCATGAACATTAGAGTGGTTATGTTTTAAACTAGTGACCGGTTATCTCCTACGCCAGTGGTTCTCAAGTTGATTGGGGTCCGATCCATCTAACAAATCTCAGAATCCTACTTTTTACTGTATTAAAAAAAAACGAGGCCATAAATACCGGTGTTTGCGTTAAAAATATATATTTCATAGTTTATTTGTTTCATATTATTTTTGGTTTTAATTATTAAAACAAAAGTGGTTGCTGTACTATACCTACTAATCATAGAGAAGTATGGTAGGAATCAGTAAACTAAAGAAAATAAGAGAGAAAATTTATACAATAAATAACATATAAAATGTCATAATATTTTTTTTTTTCGTTTGTCCGTCACATACATTATTAAAGTAAGAAGGTTAATATTTTTTTCAAAATCAATAAATAATGGTGCTTCATTGAGTTTAAATATCGCATGACGTCATACATTTCAACATAATTGTGACGTAGCGGGTCCTCAACTTTAAAGCCTATTATATAAGCCATTTCTTGTTAAATTGAAACAAAAAAATAAGTATCTAAATTTTTCTATTCTCTGACTTCTTTTTTTTTATTTCACCCTGGAATCATCACTATTGGCGGAAATCGGTCAGTAACTTCCAGGTACAATAATAGAGTCAATATGATTTACAATAACAAATACAATATTGGTATTTGTTAAATGGTTATGGTTCGAAAAGGATACGCAATACTTGGTTGTCCCCTTTCTGATTTCTGATGGCGTGTATGATGGGAAAACTGAACTTGCCCTCGGTCAGATCTTCACAGTAGCTTTTATTCTCAGAATACTGAAAAATAAATATCAGTCTTAGCAACTGGCTGGTTATCTCACTTTTTATAAAGCTTTGTTTAAGACATTTTAGTTCGGTCTGTCAAAATCTTGTGTCTGTCTGATCTCATTTGCTGTATATTATGTTATCCTTGTTTTTATTGTGTTTTTCAAATATATCAGATTATTTTAATACAGTCCATCAATTATTAGCTCACGTAGCTATCAATCAGTATTAATGTCGTTGCGCAATAACCGAATAGCGTGAAATATATATATAAATAATATCTGCAAAGACCTGTAATTTTATATGATACTAATTTTACAAGATAGCAATATATAAGTTTAGTACTAAAAGTGCCTGACGACAACTTTGTCAGCCTCCCTAGATAAGTTACTTCTTATTATCTTTGACTATTTGCAGATATTAAATATTTTTAATATCTTTATTAATTAACTGCAGTTCACACTAAGTTGTCGATTACAATAACTCTAAATTGTTTTAAGCTCTTTATGATTTCCACTTAGTGGAAACACGTGGAAAGTAAATATCTGCAGGTTTGAAGTGAACATTGTAATTGTGTTACCTCCTGCAGACAGAGGTTGCAGTAGTCGTCCCTGATTTGGAAGTACAGGCCGAATATAGCAGACAGTTTGCTGAAGTCAGATTTGTTCTCGCTGAACAGCTGCATCAGCCGTATCGCCAGCATGAACAGACCACCCGTTTCTGTACACATTGGCCTGCTTTTGAACCGCAATTTCATATCAGGGTTTTTATAAAGGGTCTCGTAATTCATTTGATAACCATGGTTAATGTAATAAATCCTACTTTTTTATTTTTTATTTCAGAACCCTCATTTTTTAAACTTTTGATGGATTAATGAAACACTAACCTTATAAACATAAAGATTTATTAGTGTAACCAGGATTACCAATATGAATTATAAGACCTTTCGAGAAACAGGGTCTAGGTTGCTGCCTATAAACATGCTATAAACTGGTTAGACACTACTTTGTTTATGGTTTCTTTTCACATTGTAAATTTTTAATGAAAACTAGTTACCAGTATTCCATCTACAATATCTCACTAGAAAAAAGAAAAATATCATCTATTTCAGATTTTATGTCATAGCCTGCCTAAAGGCTCATTTTGAATCTTGTAAACCCTACCCATATAACGAGTGACGTCATTTATATTACGTTGTATAAAGTAGCAACCGTGAAATCTTTGTCACTCATAGTTTAATAATAAGTTATTTATATTCATCTAATAAGTATGTCTTATATGGCAAGTAAACACAGCAGCAGCCAATCTAAAGAAGCCCAACTTTTGTAAACAATTATGAACTTAACTATTAACATATTATGGTTTACGATCAACTGGAATTTAGCCAGTCATAAAATTGATGTTATGTGTCACTTACTTTTGATAGTCATCTGTTTGTACTCCTCCTCTGAGGGACACTGGAAGTTATCTCTCCAATATATCTCCATACCCTGGCCTCTATGAAGCTCTAACAGCTGTTCAGTATAAACTACTGTTGCCTGTGAATAAAAAAAGAAATAGTAATGTTAGGTGGATTATCAATAAATCTTACTTTGTTTGCGATGTTAAGTAACAAACAAATACTAAATAAGAAACCAAGATCTCAATTAAATCAAAACGAACACAAGCACATTTTATCTTACTATACTGTATTGATGTGTATACTGTATCTGTATTGATACTATATAGATTTACTATACTGTATTGATTTGTATACTGTATCTGTATACTATCATACATCATTTCTGCTCAATGCAATTCAAAGATCAACTCAAGAAGGAAGAGGTTCCATTGAAAAGAAAAATATTGTATTAAAAATGAATATTTTGAATTGATAAGCAAAATGTATTGAAAAGAAACATGTGGTATGGAAAAGGAATATGTTGTATGGAATACAAAGATATTGAAGAGACCTTTAATAGATAAGAGGTTGTATGAAAGTGAAAGAGGTTGCATTGTAAAAAAAGTTGTCTCTAATACCTGTGGATGTCCTAACTCAAGACTCTTCTCAAGTGCAATGATCATGACATAGTTGGCCGCATTAATGGTGCTTGCCACTCCATAAATGGAATGTGCCACTGGAATGCCGCGACGCAGGATTGAATTGTCTTGAATATCGTCAATTCTGCAAAAAATAACTTGTTCATAGAGAATTTAGCATAAACATAAGTTTGCTATATATCAAAGTGTCATATTAGTCAGAACAGGAAAGATACTGCTAATGTATTAAATTGACAAACTGGGCTAAAAGCTATGAAATTGTAAAATAACATTGATTAGATAGAACAGAAAAATTATATAATACTACAGGTTACACAAGGTTCATTTTTGTATTAAAATCTTATGAGGGTCCATAAGTATCAAAAGAAATGTAATGCAAACCCAGAGAACCATTAATATTAGTAAAAAAAAACATTCTAGTTATAATAAATAATAGCATGTGAAGTTTTTTCTCTTTTCCTAGGCTTTAATCAGATGTACGTTTTGACAACATTTCCCGTGTCTTTAAAGCATCGCTAAAGGCGAATCTTAGAATTGCATACAAACAATAAAAGAGATGCACAATGCTGACGTGTTGTCGTAGAGCACAAATGTTATTTTGACCTTTGCAGCCTATGCATTAGATAATAATTTGCAACAACAAATAGTCTTCACAATATTTCATAAATTTAAAATTTAAGTAGGTCACTTCAAAGTGGAAACTATTTGTTACGAAAACTCTTTTACTGAAAAAGAATATATCACTTGACAATTCATGTCAAATATTTTCTCGGCATTTTCCGTAGGTATTTTCCTAATTAATTTACACTACAATGCCCCGAAATTTATCCATTAACGAAAGAGCACAAATAATCGCATTACACAATGATGGTTTGAATATTAGTGAGATTTCTAGAGAATTAAATGTGTCGGTAAGTATTATTATGTCTGACGTGAGTTTAATGTAAAATCTCAGACCAAGTCCGAGTGTAAAATTTTTTTTTTATTTTTTCTGTTCATATTTTATTTTTGATTATAGAGACAAGCTGTCCGTCTTTGGATAAGACGAGAAAGCGAGGAGGGGAATTTGAACGCTCGGAGTCGTAGCGGTCGTAGACCTGAAATATCAGATACTCAGCGAGTCTTCATGAGACGGAGTTATGAGGAATCTGGCTTTATACCAACGCGTTATTTTGCCGACATATTTGACGTGACTCTCCAAACCATTAGAAACCATTTACATTACATGGGCTTACATCACAGGCGTTATGCAAAGAAAATTTATATGACTGACGCTCATAGAATGGCCAGATTAAATTTCGCCATAGAATATTTGGATTTTGATTGGAGTAACACTGTTTTCTGTGACGAGAAAACTTTTAAATCCAGTCAACACGGGCGTCTACACCTTTGGCGATTCAATAAAACGCGATACACGCAAAATCATGTCGTGCCAAATAGAGAATCGGGTCGTATCTCGGTAAATTTGTATGGATGGATGACTGCTGATGGTGTTGGAGACTTGACCTTTTTGCCACCACGAGCAACGGCATCAGATTATGTTGATGTTCTCCAAAATGCTATGTTGCCATCCGTCCGGAACGTTTATCCAGAAAATGAAATGCGTCAATTTAATTATTTACAGGATAACTGTCCCTTACATAAAGCAAGGGTAACACGTGCTTGGTTTGATGCACATCCGGAAATAAACTTGATACCATGGCCTGCAAAATCGCCAGATCTCAACCCTATTGAAAATATGTGGGGTCTTATGGTTCAGAGATGGTGTAACCGTAATGAACGAACAGCAGAAGCACTACAAGGGCACTGCAATGAGGTTTGGGAGGAAACACGTGGGTCTGATATCTGCTCAAGACTGGTGGGCTCGATGAGGGAACGTCTCCAAGCTGTTATAGAGGCAGATGGCGGCTACACAAGATTTTAAGAATTATAATTTTATAAAAGAATTGTATATATTTTTTAACAACCAAAGAATTAGCATTTTCACTATCTCTTCTAGTTTTAGCCCTTGTCTCGCACTAAGCTATGGGTCGGCGCAATATGTTTTTCGTCGCTATTCATTTCTGTTATCCGTTATCTCAGTATATTCAGACCTATAACACGCATAGCTTCTTACGCATAGCATTTCACTACCTACTGATTTTTTTTATTTGTATTAAAATATAATTAATCTACATTCTAATGTAGGATATTTGTAGACTATAAGACTTTATTTACGATATTCTAACTCTAAAGTATTTAAACATACAAACAGACAGACAGAAAAAAAAATATTTTTGGCTTCATCTAACATTCTTATTCATATAAGAATATGTGAAGATGATTTTATTTCAGTAAATTTTAAAAAAGAACTGATCAAATACTCATAGATAATAGGGGACTGATGTAGTTTTATAAATTTCCTTCCTTTTTATTTTTTAAACCTTATTGCTTATAGCAATAAAGATTAAAATACTTCACACAAAGATATCCATGTGTATATAACCCACAAGGTGATCTCGCTCAATTAGTTTAATTAAGAAAGATATAAATTTTTAAGGTGAATTTGAAAAATGAAACCAGTTATGTAAAAATTTGGCATGTCATGTTCCGATAATTTCTTGTAGTGAAATGGTCCACAGTCCACTGATTGGAAATAAGTTTTCCCTACAATTATATGTTAATTAATATTTCAACAGTACTCACAGTAAGCTAGAATTGTGCAGCATCTGAACAATCTCTCCAACAGCATGTAGCTTCTCGTCCGAAACTTTGAGCCAGTAATTGAACGCTAATGTAAGTTTAGTACGTATCTGTTTCCCAGGTACTTGCTGAATGTAAGTGTATGGCAACAAAACTTTCTAAAAAATCAAATTTAAACATCACAGCAGGATTGAGTCAGAGCCTTCTTCCATAAGGTGAGACACTTTTAGAATGTTTTCACTTTTAAAAATGTGCAAATTCAAATAATGTCAAGGTTTGTTTATTTAAAAAATATATTTAAATAAAGCTAAGGTTCCACCATAAACAAACAACAAACATTTTTAATGAACAATCTAGCAAAGTTCATTGAGAATAGCCGAAGATTTGAATGCTACTTGAAGCAAAGTCTTCAACATTTACAATTTTTAACCTATTTATTTAATAGGTGTTATAAATTTTGCTATGTGAATATAGTCTGATAAGAATGGTGGTTGATACTTACTGAAAAAAAAAAACTAAATTAAATTACTTCACTTCAAACCATTTTCAGAAAGAGAATGGGACCAAAAGCTATGTTATATACTTATACAATCAACTAAATTATTTAAAAATATACCCATGAATAGGTTTACATTTATCGTGTTTATTGAACTTTTGAGTCTTTAGTACACTTCAAAGTAATTAAAGAAGTGTTTTAGACGACATCAGTAACGATGTAAAACATAATTTAATATAGTTTGATTTTTTTAAGGAAGATCAAAAACAAAGACAAATTAACAGCGAAATAATAAATTTATTGTATGATGTATTTTTTATCATACCTCATCTTGAATAGCGTCGCCACTTTTAGTATGCACTTGAGACATTTTCGATTATAGGTGTGATCGAAAATAAAATTTATAAGATTGCGAAAAATTTAGAAATGTATGAAAAGCAAACACCGGACGCAAAAAGGTAATCGATTGATTTTCTTTCTCGTAGAAAGAGACAGACAGGCAGCCGGAAAAATATTCTAGAGCAAGAGACAAGAACGTAACGTCAATGTCAACCTATTTTTTTTTATATTTTGTTCCTTATCGAAACAGGCTAAGATCATAGACCATACTGTTTCGTCATTGGTTGAATTGTGTTTCTTTGTATTGAAAGTTAGAGTTAAAAGTCTTTAATTTATAAAAATGAAATTAAACTTCTTCAGTATAAAAAATGTACAATAAAATTGTGTTCAGAATTTTTTTTTCCTTTTTAGGCAGTCCTATCCTTAGTAGAAAATCTTTTGGTGTTATTTACATGGTTAGCAAAGTAATTGGATCCTTGTCAGCAATAAAATAAAATCAGGAAGTCGACATGATCTCAGCAATTTTGAGATGCAGTATAGTTTTATATATGACAGTTGTAAAGAGCGATCCATATTTATATAATCAAATATTGGTAATCACTTAGAAAGTAAGCTAATATAAATGTATCGAAAATATTAAATACATATTATGTACCAATAAATTTAAATCCCAACAAAGCTTTATTTTCTTACTAACCACCAATCATAATGTCGTTTTCTTCATTATTTTTATAATGAGGAAGTATTTAAAAAAACGAAGGCAATAAAAAAGCATCTCCACTAGATGGCGGCTCTAGCGAAATTTTTGCAGGAAACGAATAGATAGACAGTCATTTCCGTTCCTTTTAACCAATATATTAAAAAACTGAAATATGAAAAGTTTTAAATTTAGATATCAATACGAATACAAAAAATTATAAATAGAATATGAGTTGTTTGTTGAGTTTTGAAAATTAATTTACTTTTAAACTTAAAAGAAAACCGTAAAGGTTGTCATAGAGAAATCAAGAACGTATGTACTAATGTTTTTTTTAAAACTTTCTAGTTGCGTTCTTTGGTCACCTGACAAGTGTGATTGTCAGTGTCATTCTTGTCAAGTCGGGTTTGTTGATTGTTGTTGATATTTTCGTTGATAAGGCAGTTACCAATTTTTAACAAAATTTGTTTATACTTGATTAAGCTGAAAATACATTATGTTGCCAACTGTTGGATCCAAAGTAAACATATTGAGCCCTTAGTTATTGACTATGTCAGCTAGAAATTATTTGTCTGCTCGAGAGAAGAATATCAAACCAATTGATTGTTTGCCAAATATTAATAATCAGAAATTTACATGCCGTGCTGGATTAGATGTGCCTGTGTTGTCAGCTAATACGAGTAGTTACATTAATAGAAATCTAAAGTATTCGTATGACATTCAGTCTTTCAGAACAGATAGTGTAGATAGAGCGGCTACACCTTTTTCCGATTTCTTTTCTGAAAGTGAATCGGGTAAGTACCTAATAATACTATTCTATTAGTATTGTAAATATGTTTTATGGTTATTAACATTTAAGTCTAAATTATCTGGAATATCAATATGTATTTTGTTATCCTATTAATCCTGTTATTTAATATTATAAATGTGAAAGTTTCTTTGTTTGGATGTTTAGATGTTTGGATGTTTGTGCGTCAATCACGCCGAAACTACTGTACGGATTTTGATGAAATGTGGTATACAGATAGGGTATTAGCTGGCTTAGATAATAGGATACTTATTATCCCACTAAACATTTCCCTAGGGTCCACGAGGGCGAAGCCGCTGGCGAAAGCTAGTAACTAATAAACTAAACTCGAAAATTGAATTTTAAGGGACACCTGACTTTCATAGTGAAGAAAGTGACAGTAGTTCGGGTTCAGCACTTCGCCGAAGTACAGCAGAAGCTACTAAAACATTAGCATCAGAGTGGGAGAGGATTGAGAGGACCCTCTACGATGAGGATGGGGATAAGTCAACAAGGCCACAGATCGTTGAGGAGTGCAAACAGTGGAGACAATTGCATCCTCAACTTAGGTATATATTTAACTTGTATAACTGTTAATTGGCAGTAACAAATCATTATTTTTTATTATATTTTAAAGATTCAACTTTAGATATCTATAAAATTGAAAAGAGTTAATGTATTTTTTTTTTATCATATAGTACTTATTGAAACCAAATTTCCTGAAGCTTCCAAACTCTATTAATTAATATTATAACATATAGCTTGACAAATAAAATCAATAAATATGTGTAGGCCTGTAGTATGTCAAGGACAACTTTAACCTAATATTTAGGTAAAATATGTGATGGCCTTCACACTATTAATAATTTATTTGATGTATTGATTTCAGGGTTGTTGGTAAAGCCATAATACTTCCTGAAAAAAAATTGAGTTATAGACAAATAGAACATGATGAGGTTATTGCTATACACTACAGTGATTATGAAGAATTTAGTGAAAGTGAGGAGCGTCTCTCACAGAGTAGCTCTGATGTGACACCGCAGAATTCACCAAGAGTTTCTATTGATGAACCAAAATTGTCACGTGAGAAAGTGACTTTTCACCCCATGTACACTGATGAAGATGATTTACCAAACAGCTTCTGCTCTCTTCTACAAATTACACCTATACACATTAGAAGTCCACCTCATAGAAAGAAACAAAACCCATCAATTTTAAGATCTGAATTGGCTTCTTCAAGGTGGATGAAATCGTATAGGCCAGATTCTTCAGTTAACTGTGATCGTAATAGTGCTAAGTCATTTGTGTCTTTAGATACAAGAAATTACAGTAACACTCTCAGTGCATCTGAGCGCAATAAATTGATGAATAGTAGAGTTGTAACAGCTAAACATAGAGACTTAACAAGGCTGGAGCCTTTATATGACCCAGACTACTTGCATAATGATATCTCAAAGATGTCTAATAATGTTTCTAATTATAATATAAGGAAGGTTTCACTACCACCCCTTTTGTTAGAAGAAGAAAGAAGGAAAGTCGCACATATTGGTTCTGCCAAAAGGAATACACTTAAGTCTAAAAAAAGTGCATCAAAAGGCTTTTATCAATTAGATAAGGTGAGTAAATAAATGTTATTAATATTTTATTACCATGACTGTAATGATAATGATACAACATATTCCAAAAAGCCACATAATAATTTTTGTATTTTATATTGACAATTGTGGTTACATGCATTCAATACTTGTCCAATGTATGGTAGAAATTCTGAAATAGTTTGATAAATTCTAGAACTATGAGACACAGGGTTCATGCCTTATTAGTTGCTATTACCCATTGGCGATTTTCAATATTTAATAATATGGGATTAGCTCCTAAAACAATTTCATTATTTATTATGAATAATTATTCAAATAAACTTCTTTAATTCTTTAATATGTGTTACAAGTTCTAAATGTGCATAAAAAATTTCGAATTAGAAAACGTGATCATTAAATGTCACTTGTTAAATATCTATAGATTTAAATACATTTTCTAAATGAAAACAATAATAAAATCTGAAATTGAATATATTTCTTAACAGAAATTGAGAAAATATATTCAATTTCAGATTCTATCAAATTCATAAACTGCATTTGTGCTTATTCTTTGCCCTACAAAAATTTTACTGGATTATTCTTAAATAAGTTGTCCTTTCCAAAGAAAAAGATAGAGTAGACTACTACTACACAATCACAAAATGCATGACGCCACAAACTGCGCGGGCATTTTGTACATTTCGTATGAATTTGGCACAAACAGAAGATATTAATATTCGCTACTTTTCTTTGACAGTTACTCACATATAGTGGTACATGTTTTGTGATTGTGTGATATAAAAAGGAAATTAGGTTTGTGGTTTATTTAGTTGTATAAATTTATACCAATTAAACATTTGGTAACTATTTTAAATCATACAGTGAATGTTGATCTCAATTTATATGTATAAAGTGTAAATAAAATTAGAAATACTTAAAATTATATCGCTAGAATATTGACATAATGTGTTTTGATTGATCGCTTACCTTACATCGAATGTGGTAGGTCATTATTGAAACAACTTTACAAATACAAATACAGAATTTATTTTGATATTTACATTATTTGCATTTTATTAACAATCAACATCAACAATATTAAATAATTTTTGTTCTTGTGGTGTGATATATTTCAAACAGTCGCATAATATAACATTACCCATCTTGTGCAGCTTTTAGGATGAGTGCTATCAACCACATGCTAAAGTACATACATAATCAGCTCTACGACATCTCAACTCGCACTAAGCATTGAAAAGTGAGCTTTATGTGTAAAGATTAAAGTGGAATTTTAAAGATTTCTATTAAAATTTTATAATTCCATTTTAAAGGGAATATATAAAGCCCATGTTTACTCTGAATCTATCTGTAATGTGCTAACTTTATGATTGTTCATTGAAAGAATAGATCCTCGATATAAGTATTGACAGATCTTAGGTGTATCACATAAAGTTCAATTTCCATTGCCGATATGAAATGTCTGTCAGATGAACACCTCAACATGTCGCCGATCGTACCTACAGAAGTATTTAGGGTAATGTAATACTATGTTGTGTTTAGTGGTTTTATATTTATTAAATGGAACTATAAGCGGTGAAATATGGGACTGAGAAATTTGAGCAACTGCAGAGAAAGCTGTGAGCTTAACTGTTATGGTTGCCATTTTTAAAGTTAATATATCAAAAGTTAAAGACAGCTTTAGAAAAACAAAGAAAATGTACAGTCAATCTGCATTGTAATATTGGCCCATGTTTTAATTGACCATTTTAGGGTCGGAACGTTTTGGAACTGACAAATTATGCAATCACATTGACATCGCCGCGTACTGACCTATACTTCCGTGAGACGTCGACAATGTACGTTAGATTTGCACAGAACCTTACATTTCTATTTATCTCGAAATCTCATTTTTACGAAGATTACATTTTGCAAATTGTATGTAAAAGGTAAACTCATAAAAATAGAGGCGAAAAAAAATAAAAATATTTCAAATAAAATTATTGGTCCAATATTAAAAGCAAGGCAATAGTTACCCAGACTGTAATAAATTTATCATAAACACTTAATAAACCATTAACTAATACGATTGCAATTTTAATTGTTAGGTGGATATGAAAAAAAAAATACTAAGACTATTTTTCATATAGTATGGCAACCAATGGCTGAATGTCACTTGCGCAAAAAATGCTAAAAAACCATATCAGTTTTACCTTAGCGATAGTAATTCAATTAACAGACATTAATAAAAAAACAAATGTTCGACCTATTTTAAATGAGATCTTGTTAAATAAGACATTTTAAGATAATGATGTACCATAAACAAATTAACAATAACAAGGCAAAAAGAAGTGTTAAGTTTAAGTAGTAAGATCAGTCGTTGCGACAGAGTGATCCATTTGTTTTTCTATTTTTTTTTTTTATAATTCATTTACACAATATAATTTTAAATTGTTACAATTATTTACCTCACAGCCATCATTATATATTGATACTACATTAATAAGGAGAGGACTAGTGTGTAACAACACGATAATAAGATGGCAATCAGCTTACAAAAAGGGTCTAGCGAACATTCGTATTTATAGAGCATTAAAGATTTATATATACGTATATATTACATGAAAAATTCACCTTTCAGTTTTCTAAAAAATTTAACAACCTCAAGCTAATAGCAATAGTCAACAATGTTGTTAAATCTAGTACTTTAAATGCACAGAGAACATGAATTACTAGGTTTGCGAATAGGCATACAGAGCGCTCGGTGTAAGTTTTATTGACGTTTACGTTCACTGTAGATCGTGAGCGCGTTAAGATTTTAGTATGGAGGACCGGTACAGCGCCCCTAGCGGTAACTACCAAGAACTACAAATTTCCATACAAATTCTTAACGCGCTCACTAGTGAACGCGTTAGCGTAAAACCTACACTTAGCGCTCAGTATTAGTAATTCGATTCGGTGAGTTCGTACGCCTTAATTTATCGCATACATACATTGCCGTTGAATGAATAAGTAGAGAGAGTTATGTGAATTGAGAGACCATGCATGCTTTATGTATGTATGCATGCAAAACCCATGTAGGGTTATTTTCGCGTTGCTACCGTTGGTATGAGGGCGAAAGGAGAAGCAAAACACTGTTATGAAATTGATTGTAAATAAAATTAGTAAAAACCAAACGAAACTGATCGAAAACCACATTATATTTGTACTTAACATGTACATTTAAATAAATTTCTCAAACAGTTTTGCTTATTTAATTTTTTTCCTAATTATACTTTGTTTTATAATGATTTTAAAGTTATAGTATTTGTTAAATATATTATGACATGAGTCACGAGTGATTTTACTAAATGCTGTTATACAAAGTAGTTTCGATGCTCTTATCCTCACGGCCCTCTTTGATAGTAGGACCCCTTCCGGCTAGGGGCCCGTTAGCATGCATGAAAAGAGTCACGGGTCCAATCCCTCATGAATATAAAAATGTACAAAGTGAATTTAGATTTAGAAGTAATATTCCAAATGAGATTTGTGCTTACAATGTGAATAGTGACCTTATTTCTTTATAACTAAATGTACCTACACATAGCCAATGAGTTTGACAAAAAAATATAAATTGCCCGCAATCCGTTTTGAATTTTCTTAATGGCGTTAAATAACTTATGTCGTGTAGATGCTTTATTAATTTTTGTTTTAATAACATAAACAATAAAACTTAATTTATCTGGTACCTGTACATTGACTGTGCAAAAAAAAAACATGTTTTTTTATGGTTTTTAAGAGATTTCACCTAGTGATTTAGAAGAATATGAACGGATTCGAATTAAGAACATGACTATAATTGAATGCTGCATTGAGATTACGTGAATATCTAAATTAATGATTTTCCTTTATAACTTGGATAGATACAGCGCTAAGGCGTTGCGCTATATATTTTTACGGCTTTGATTTACGATAAAGTTACTAAGTAAAAACCTAGCAACAGTTTGTCGTGTAACATGCATACATTACAATTTTTTAGGAATTAAGAGACGATATTATTTCGTTTTATTTTATTAAATAAAAAACGAGTTTTTTATATATATAAATGAAATATTAAGATTTGTTAAACGCTTTCCTTGAAGGAACAAGAGAAATTAATATGATATTATCTATTTCTGTGTTGTTTTATGTAGTGCAGCGAAGTTACTATAGGTATATCGATATCGATAATATCGCCTCTTAAAAAAATGTAATCATTACGCCAGAAGCAAACACACGCAGGACTCGGTTATATTCTCTCTCGTTAAGGCGATAATACATATTTTAACACTAGGTATTTAAAATTGCACACTGACCCACCTCTATAAACTTTTAATTGCGATAAATATTTCGTAATGCTGTATAAAAATATTAAAGGAAAAATCATCATTTTAATATTAATCTTATTTAACATTCATATTATTTTTTTAATTAAAATTAATAGCGATTATATTACATTTTTACAATGAGACGCCGACCTCTATTTCTTAACTAGCATACAGTGTTAGAAGCCTAATTCACAACAAACTACACACGATAGTATTTTTTGAATATAAACTTTTTTTAATATCCGTACCCTTCTATGTTTCTTTTAATGCAAAGGAGACGTATTTTGAAAAACTCTTATGTAACATACAAAATGACATTTGACTATGTACAACGTACTAGCTAAAAATTTGAAAAATTAATCGAGGTTTTGTCGACTGCGCTGCGGTTACACTACACAATCACCAGCAGTGATATTCTGTTATAAAAACTCGGAACTCGAAGTCGATCGCAACCCTGTTATAGCATAGAGGTTTGTGATAAAGGTTTTATTTGATTTCACTGATATAACTTGCCAACGCTGCACTCGACGACGAGTTGTAGGCTGTTTTTTTAACAGTATAGCATAGCCGATAGGCATACGCTGGGCATGCAAGGATCGCTACCTACTTACCGTTATACCAAGCTCCATTACAACTAAAATATTAGAATAACGGGCCAGTGCTAAGTGAATTTTTATTTCTAGCCCTAATCATGGCAATGGTTTAGCCAAATAAGCCTAGTGAGATCTTTTAGTTTAAACACATAGTTATATATTTTGGACAGACCGATTAGTTTAAATTTACATTTTAGGTACATAAATAATTCTATCGTGCACAACCATCTCAAAGTTTTACAATGTTAATACATCCATTAAGGGTTCTTTTTAAATATGAATTTAAATAATTTTCAAATATATTTAATTTTCCTTACCTGTACGTTTGCTTTACTAGTGAATGTTATATAATTATATTTTTATTGTTATTGCTTTTTGACGGTGCTTACAGTAAATGTTGTATAATTTATATACGATGTACACTTGGCTACATCGTTTTTATAGACACTAACTCCAAAGTTTTTAAATTAAAACTTAAATTTCTAAATCTGTTATTTATTAGTTAATAATGAAAAAGAAAACGTATTAGCAGTTTTTTAAATTTTGAAAATGTCATAGATTTAATGTTGTTTTAAAAGAAATTCATTGTTATTAACTTAATTTTTTGTAGTTTCTATAACGTTTTCAGATTCCAAAAATCTACTAATACTATAAATTAGTTACTTTCAATAATTACCTCCGAAATGATTTTAGGAAAGTAATTTTTATAAAAAAAAAAGTATACGATGACGTTAGTGTGTATAGGCCTCTTAAGTTCAACCGATCGTTTACATTATTATTTGTTAAAAAACTTACTGTGATTCGTCTGTTTTTAAATATACACACGTGAGACTACTGGTGGGCCCACTATATTGTGTTGATTGAACGCACATATAATAATATATATTTTTTTAAATATTTTTATTTCCTTACATAATGTATATTTAATGATTGAATATTTTGGTACTGATCTTTGGCACGGTGAAGAGTAGGATTAAAGAATTAGCCTTTTTAGTTATTTATGCTTTTTATCCTTTAAGGAGGTGGATCCTTTATTGGTTCTTAGTACTGAAACATTTAACTGAATGTAACGTAAAGGTGGATCTACATTTGTGACAACCATACCGATGCAATGACCTTGTTTCTATCTAATATCGTGAGATGTCCATGTTTATAGTTTAATTGTAACCCTCTTTCATAATTTAATCAGTCACTTTGAAATAATGTTTACTAGTCATACAGACAAAGTAATTTTGTTTATTTCATTTAGTAATTGAGGACGTTGCTTCTAGGCACATATTGCTTTCAGACACCATAACTGACCTCATTTATTTATTAATAAGGTTATAATCGCCCGCGTCGATGAATGTTCATGTCGCAAATGTAGATCCACCCTTAGTTGTTGTGATTATGTCAGTAGTGCAAGAGCAGTTAGGTTTGAAGATGTTTTCGAAGATTGTAGTATAAAATTCTGGAGAGTAATTTGTTGTAGAATTATTGTTTAGTTAGCCATTTCACATAAATACGATTGCCATAAAAGTTTCAAGTATATTTGTAAGTAATATTCCACATTTATATTCCACTTTACAATATTTTCTCTGTGTACTGTGACCAGTATCATTTTGTACTCTTTTATTTTGGTGTGAGATTTATTATTTGTTTTGCGCTTTTGTTTTTACAAAAATATGGCAATATGTTTGCATTCAATTCCTTTACCTACACTTTACACATTTTTCTGTGGTATTGAACAGATTATATAATTTTGACGAGGCGTTCAGTTGCCGACGGCAAACATTTCTACGGGGCACACTGATTCTAACCTAATTGTAATTAAGGCCGGCTTTGCCTAATCTATTTGAATGAAATTATTGTAAAAATATGAGGCGACTGTTAACTATACACAGGATGTTCGATAAGTTCCCAACTTTCTTACAGTAAAAGTAAGGTACAATTTGATTCATACAAATATATACGCTTTTACACATCTTGCTAATCTCACTAAATAAACGTAAGTACCTACCCGTTTCATTCTGAAGCTTTGACGTCAATTTCATTATATTCTGCCCAGAAGAACAGAAAACAGAATTGAAGTAGGTATACTACTTAAGGAGAAAATCAATTGTAAAGGCTTTATTTCGTTTGTACATTGCAAAATTTATAGGATGTGATATCTAATTAGGCTGAAAACGAAAATCTGAATTCAGATGGAAGTTTTGGTCACCTGAATGTTTTGTCTATCAACATTTTTCTGCTTGTATAATTAAACAAATGTAGGTAGGTACTGTTCTTAAGTTACCTACGATTATGTTAATAATCCAGTTTAATATCTTTTATCAAACACCCTGTGATGCTAATTTAATAAAAAATGTTTGCGTTGTTTTGTCTTAATGATATCCTGCATTATGATCCATTAATAATCGTGAGGCGAATGTATGACTAATATCTAGTAAATTCTAAAAGGTACCTTCAACCAACTGCACACAGTTTACATTTGTTAGCTCGAACGGGGGATGTTAGTCTTATGCAGTCGATCAAAAGTGTCTTATCTAATATAAAATGTAACTATGAAGAGTCCACAATCGTCAAAGCACCCGGAGTTAACACTAAATACATCGCAGGCTTCAAAAGCCCTATTTCTCATTAATTAAATAACAACGACGCTTCGAAAATGATATATATCACACATTTACAGCAATATTACACGTTGCACACAGTGTCTCTGTGTTGCACGCAGGAAAATAAAACAACTTCCCTGGTTCAGACATACATACGTAGCGGCATCATTAGACATTATTCGTATAATTTGTTTCAGTTCATAAGAATTTATTTTATTGTGCAGCGCCATAATTCACGTCCACTTTGACAATCCGCCCCCCCAAAAGGTGGGATTAATAAGTATAGAAAAAGAAACGGAAGAAATAAAAAAGAAAATAATAAAAAGTTTAAATAGTTTTTATTAAAAAAATAAACATAACGTTACCACTAAAATTTTAACCACTAACTAAAGAAACGGATGGTAAGATTGATCTAACGTATGTGACTATGTGTTGATCTCATTTTTTATTTTAGAAGAATGAAAAATCAGATCACCATAGTATATGTAACATCAAGCAACAGTGTGTCTATGTGGGTAAATATGAAATGGGTATTATAGAACTTACAAAATTCAGCAATTGTATGCAGACTACTACCATACGTGCAAAGAGAAATGTAAAAAATGTATGTATGAACTACTTAAACTTAATAACGACAAGAATTCAATGTGAATTCAAAAAAAGAAACTTAACATAGTGTCTAATAATATAACGTAATAAAAAGGTTGAATGAAGTGCTTATCGATCAGTCGATGAGTATTAAATGCTTAAAATATAACTACAAATATATATTTTAGTTTTTAAAAGTAGCGCTTTACATATATGATTTGAGTGACGAAAACTACTCAATCAGGAATGGATATTCTAAGAGAAGGAAACTTTATACAATACATTAGAAGGTTTATGTATGAAGTTATAGTTAAAGTATATTATCGTTTAAAACGATAACTTAACGATCATGCAATTAAAAGTTTAAAAGGTTCCTTTAATTATTGAGCATTTATGTCCTTTAGATTAAAAATAATCATGGGTCACTTGCATTTTTCTTTATATTAGAATGAACTCCTACTCTCGTCGTGTGCAGTGTGCTTAAGAGGAAACGGGACGTTACGGTGTGTCGCGACATCGTTCCGAACTGCAGACTACATTACAACAGTTCTATGAATCGTCGTCATTCTCTATAATAAATACTTCACCACTAATAAGTTCGTAACACCGAAAGCCACCCTAAAGTTCACGATAAACGACCAAAACACTACTACGGCGGATCGGAACACTCCGGAACGTCTCGTAGTCGGTCACGGACGATCGGTCGTTCGAATCGGACAAACGGAACGTCGAAGAGGCGTGGGAGGGAGTGCGACAGTGTTTGCGGTGCGTGCGGTGTCCGAAGTGTCAACTGATACGTCAAAAAACAAAACTAAGAAAAGGATGAAACGAAAAGGATTCACCGGTCGATTTTTCGGGCTGGCGAGTCTGGGACGGCTTCAATTCGGCCTCGAAAGTGTCGCGGGATGGGGGGTATAAAAAAAAATTAAGGCGCCATCCATTTATTACGCAAAGTAATAGGAGGAAGAAAACCCGCAAAGTTAAGATAAAAAATCTAAAGAAAAATTAATAAACTCAAATATTTTTTTATCAGTTTTTCTTTTAGATTCGTACGTAATAATTTCTTAAAAAAGAGGGTTAAAAACTGTGTTACTTAATAAATGGATGAGGCGTAAACGAGATAGGTAGGATTGTCAGGTTGGAGGGTGCGTCGACGGGCCCTCCCTATATGTAGGAGTAGGGTCCGTCGGTGAGGGCGCTGCACAGCAATAGTCAGGAGGCGTCGTCCTTGCCGCTGCCGGCGGCGGAGCCCGCGCGCCGACCGCTCGACCGGTACTCCACGCCCGGGTCGAACTGCATCAGCACGAACACCTGCGTCCAACACAAACAATATTAGTAGTCACCAGCTCAAATACACTGTCCGTTGGAAGCAACTTCCTTCCTTGTCGTCATCATTCCTACCCTATCGCGAACAGGGCGACACCTCTGTCGCATGGTAAAGAGCCTGTTTATATTAGGAACACCCATAATTGGATTTTGCTCCATTCCAGAACTCGCTTGGACCGGCACTAAAGAATTTCACTGTTTGGTATTTCCTATGAAAAGTAAGAAAAATAGGACGGATTAAGACCTAATTATGAACACTGACGTTTTATGGATGCAGCCGGTACCGACAGTTAAAAGTACCTTTCGAAGCACGGACGTAAACAAGCTAACTGAAGCGAGTTAATTCAATTCTAAATTCTCCTAAATCTCCAGTATTAGCAAGGATAGGTATATCAAAACATTCAGTATTGTTTTTGAGTGTAGATAATACTTACACAACCGTAAAAGATGTAAAGCTATGCCAGTTCGTAACTTTCATGAGAAGGCCTAATGCTAAGAACAGGGACTTCAATATTCTTTTATGCATCGAATAGTGAAAACAGATAAAAAGCGTTTATCTACACTCAAATCGAAAAATTCGAATTCAAAGACGATTCTATATATACGCACTTTATTAACGTAAATACATGAAATTAAAAATAAAACTCATTATAGTACCGTTAACTGTATCATAAAACTCATTACAGTACCGCTATCTTTTTTTATTCATTAAACTAGTCTATGGTTTTAGGCTGAATATGAAAAAGACACGCATGCGCAGTTCAAACTGTGTAAAAAATGGCGCACGTATAAAATCACTCACTTGTACTCACTTGTAACCTACCTACTTTGTTTAATTTCAATTTTTCCTATGAGTGAAGATAAAATAGTTCATGAAACTGCATATAACTTAGGTATTAAAACACTCGAGTCAACCCACAGAACACAGAAAGACCTTAGAAGGGCTTTGTGGGCGTGGCAGTGTAGCCACGATCCTGGACAAATGGACAGGATCGTGACTTCACCACGCGATCGCGATGTTTAGTCATTCACGAACGCGCGCGCTGTAAGTACTGTGAAACACGTCACTAAAAATGTTAAAAATGCCGACTTGCGCAGTTATTAATTGTAAAACAACAAGCCCATCCTTAAGTAGATCCAAAGGAGGGATTTCTTTCCATTAGTAAGTAGAACACTTCTCAAATTTAGTATTTTAAGTCGAAATTCGTGAAATGTTGTCAAAAGTGTGAATCACAAAAAATATTTCTCAGAAAATATACATTGCTCGAGAAATGCGCATATTTATTAGGTACATTGCATCGTACTAAGCACGTAATGTAAAGAACATCGCGAAATCACCGTTTTAAATATAACATAATAGATTACGGTAGATGGGTAGTGAAGTGCCTGGAAACATTTAATCGATTCTTGATGTGTTAGTAAAAACTAAATAAAAGTATGGACGATAAAATTAGTGGTAATAAAAATAAATTTAATCAGAGATTAACCATATTGACTTCGTTTGGTATGCGTTTGTATATTAACTTAATAATGAGTGTGGTAATAAGTCTGTTTTTATATTCTTAATATTGTAACAGAAAATTAGTTTTGTTTTTTAACCATTAACAACAATACTTTTTAAATCATCGGAATCCGTTCAGATAAATTCCAATCGCATTTATTGTACTGATAGTATTTTTTTAGTATGTATATATTTATTTACATTATATTGTTTGTCAATATTACTAGTTCCATTTAAGCGATGTTGCCGATCTTATCTATTTACTTGATACGAAATCGAGTAACGTAACGTATAAAAAAAACCTACTATTAAATAAACAAACATATTTATATGCAAATAAATATTTAAGCTCCACTTGTACCTATTCAATGTTAGTTCATTAGTAATTTAAATATTTCTTATTGAATAAACCAACTAATTAAGAATTAATATTTAAAGAAACAACATAATTGGTCATTTAATCAATACAATTCAATGTATATCCAAAATTATATAAAGAAATCATTAGTCAAGTATCCTTTCAATTAATCGACTTGTTGTTTTTCAATATCGATAGTAAATAACTTTATGTCAATCACTAGTGTGATATGTCAAATTAAAATGGCTTTTACACGTTTATTGCGCACTATAGATGTCTTTTACGGTTGAGCGTGATTGGTTATAATTATGTTGGAGCGTTCTGATTGGCATGTTTAAAATGCAAGTGTGTGCATATCTTTTGTATAATTGGTCTGATATTTCGCCTGATGTACGGCGGACTAAAAGTGGGGCAAGACTGGCGACATCGGTTTTCGTACAAAGGATGCATGATCTTTCTAACCTCTTTTCCGTGTTCTGTGAGTCAACCTATTATCGCATTCGGCATCGCCTTATGCGATAAACAGACTCTCGTGTTTTAATTCCCCGTTCTTATATGACAGTTGCATAAACTACTAATATCGTATATTACCTGATCGGTGGGCAGCAAGCTGAAGTCATCCGGCGGGTTGGTGATGACGTATCGCTTGCTGCTGGCGTCGCAGGAGGACGAGGTGTCCCGGAAGCGGTAGAGCCCGATGCAGAGCATGCCGTACGAGCGGAGTGCCGCCACAAACAGGTCCCCGTACTTGCCTGCCTCGCCGAACTGAGCGAGCGGACCGTCGTACAGAGATATCTGCCCGACTCTACACCGGTCTCTGTCACAATATGCAAACCGAATACTTTGATTAAGTCGCTTAGTTACCCAGACCTTAAATAAAAGGCCTAGAAAACGCATAGAACTACCATGAAACTGACTTCCAAGTCTGTTAACCAACAAAGTTAGAATGCATTATCTTTACGTAAAAATTTTGTTGACATTTTTTTATAAGATGGGTTTTATTAAAAAACCAAAAACACAAAACAGAATAAGTACGCATAAATTTTAGGTGCATATTAGTGTGAAGTCAGTGACATCCTGTATGCCAAGCTGGTTTATTGGAAGTGTTACTGCGAGTCAACATGATTTTGAAATTAGAAGAACACTTCATTTACTTACCTATTAGCTAAACTCTCAGGCGTAGAGTACCCTCCTCGGAGTCCAGCTCCCTCGGCGAGGATTAACTCCAGCTCTGGAGTGGCGCCGCCCGTGATCAGCGACCGGATCAGCGTTAAGGCATTTTGGTTGAAATACGTCTGTAAGATATTTAACATGTTATTCTGATAATCATATTCTTTGGTTCAAGGAGTTTTTTTTTGCTCTCAGATGTTCAATTACAATAATTATTAGGTATGGATATAAAATAGATGACAAACAAAACACGGACTGTTCAATTCAATAATAATGAACCTCAAGATTAACATTGCTGCTTTAAGACAAACCAAAACCAAAATCAAAGTAAACTTCAAAATAAATTGTGAGCCCGAATAAACTTAATCACGGAGCTCTCGATTTCCCTTTGCCTTTATGCCCAGTGGTAACTAAGAGGGGTACTTACGGTGGACATAAGAGAGTCGAGCACGCTGACAGCGAAGGCCGTGCCGCATGCGAACGGCTGAGTGAGGTACAGTTCTGTGTCAGGGTCGTCGTCGTCATCCTGGTCCAGAAACTGTACGTTGCTGTCGTTCACCAGCTCTGTTACCATTAAAGATATATTATTATGTACATTCATGGAGTTCCTCTTGACTAAATGTAAATGCACTCTTCAAGGCAGAAGTGGACCTATATGGTATTCTACTGTTCCTTGCAAAAACAAATCCAAGAAATCAAAAATTATAAAAATAAGTTCAGATGGTGTGACTAAAGTCATTTTACGAATTCGATTTGTCTGAAAAACTTCACGTATAGAATTTGCCCAATATTATACCTAGCTATAGTTTATTAAAAGTTGTACATACCGGTAATCATAGGCACATTGGCACCATACACGGATCCCCTCCTCTGCAACAAGACCGGCGCGGGCGCTTGTCCCGGCGGCGGCGGCGCATTAGTACTTCCATTAGTCCCTACACCCGCACTTAGCACGCCTATCGTGTCGTCGAATGTCATCGCCTTGATGTTCAACGAAGCCAGGATAGCTTCCTTGTCAGCCAGCGTGGGGTCATCGTTCGATGGAACCTTCGCTGACAGGATACAGCACATGTCGCATAGATTAACATTCACTGCACGCAAGTCGGCCCGGCTTAGCGGTGAACCCTGGAAAAGTGAAATTTTATCAAATAACCACTTAGTAGTTAATACATTTTAAAATACTATGTCTAAATTATTCAATATCAAGACTTGTTTGCATTGAATAGACTTTGTTACTACTAGGCCTTTTTTAAATTCTTTAAACCCACAACTAGTTTTGAATAAATACCCACTACTAGTTTTGAATAAATACCCACAACTAGTTTTGAAGACAGAACAGAAAAGGTTGAAGTCAATGTTTTTATTTAGGTCTGTGGTCGAGATTTGCTTTTTTTTGTAATAACTTCATTGGTACAACGAGAACAGACTCACATTCAACACAGATATTTTGGGAAGATTCTGAAGCATCTTCCACTCCCTCCTGATGTATTCGACGCTGCCCACGATGACCACGTGCTTGAGTTCGTGGTAGTGGAAGTTCGATGCTCGAAGCGGCATCACAAGATTCCGAAGCCCTATTAAAGGCGAGTCGGGGTCCGCGAACAGACAAACCACAACGTGACCGTTTAGAACCGTCATTGCCGCTTGGTTTCTGTCCTGTGGGTAGACGTTAAGATTTAAAATTGTCATTATCAATAAAGCCTGTATGAGTTACTGCACGGCTAAGCTATTATTGATCACTAGCGGGCTAAGAAACAATAAATAATGAAATTTCATTTTAGGTCAATTCAAAACTTGAGAACATCTTTTATTCGATTAGAAGCCGTGGTTTGGAGGCACGGGCTTAAGTTTTCAATACATATTTGTGTACTTACTAATATACAATCTTCTAGATTTCTGGCGGGGCTCCAATGGAACATGCCAGTTGAATCATATTTCATTTCAGTCTTTTCAAAGTCGAAGTCTTTCGACTGGTCGTCCGCCAGGCCCGCTGGCAGACTCACCCCATTGCTGTTCTTCTCCCCACTACTTCTACTCGTGGGCCTGTTGATATAGACCACTCATTAATAATTTCTGTATATCAGTCAACTGTATTCAGGGTTCAGATGTGTATGTATCACACAAGGTAGTAAAAAGTTTAGGTAAAAGCATATTATGCGGAATTCTAATACCTATATGTACTACCTATAGATACTACCTATAATAAGATCCAAATTATCACATGACAAGGTAAAATTTAATCCTCTTTATTAAAAATAGTCTTTTTCTTCGACACATTTTCGGCCACATATATATGCGACCGTTTCTGTAGGAACTTTGGATAAATACAGCCTATTCTAATCGTTAATTATAAATTAAAAATAAAATAATTTCTCTGTAACTGTATGATTTGTAATTAAGATTATTTGATTTTGAATAAAGAGGATTATAAACGTGTGATCGGTTACGGAATAAAATTTCGGAATTTTTAAAAATAGTGGAAAACGTGTAAGTAACCTACTTGAATTAAGTTTCAAAATTGGGTGAGCATGCTATAATAGAAAACCGTGCCGTGCTGCTTATAGGTGCAAAAATAAATAATGATATCAATACCTTAATACAAATTATATAAAAAATACTAAATATTAATAGGTATATTTACTTCTCACTAAACAACTCAAGCAAGCACTACCACTATATTAAATAAATTTTATTTTTGTTTACTTCGGCTGGAATCAGATCGCCAAATACATTTAATTTTATTTGTATTATTTAATATAATATTTTAAGATGTGTTAGAAAGATGATGGCAATGGAAGAATTTTACAGAGTTTGGAAGGTTTAAAAAGGAATATGTACAAATTTAAATCAATAGGGGATCATAATATTATCTTAGAATTTATAGGAAAGATTCACAAAGGATTTATTTCAGTAGGGGAAAGCATTACAAAACGTAATATATGTTAACAAACTTGTAATGGTCAACTAATTCCAGCCTATCACCAAACTACAGATAATAAGATTATCTAGCTGATATATAATTTATTTGGAATTACATGAGTTTTTTGACTTCGTAGGCAAGATGGTAGGCCTGGTAATTCGTATCTTGATCCTGCGGATTCCTGTAACACAGGGCCAAAGAGTCGTCTCCAATGATATAAGAGATTTAAAATAAACTAAGATAGATATATGTGCAGCAGATACATATGTTTAGATAAATAGTATTGAATTAAGTGCACCACGTGCTAAACATAATGTTATGTGACAGCGAAACAATGAAACTTATAAGCCGCGACAGTAATAGAAACAAATTGAAACAGATGAAGATTAAAATACTTTGAAGTATGTACTTATGTAATTAATACTGTATGTAGCTTTGCGTTAGTATATTATAGATAATTTAATTTTATGCGATAGAAAGAGATAGATAGATTGGATTGACATTATAAGTAAAGGGTCTGGTAAAATAAACTTTATGATATACATAATATCGAATGACTCATAGTTCGGTCTTTGATATCCGGTTCGACAATCTTAGAAAACAAGAGATATCAACTTAGGTATCAAAATCCAATTTACAGGTCTGTGATATTTATTAGTATTATTTTTATCTACTAATTATTTTTTGAATTTGGCATTCACAATACTCTTCATATTTTTCTAGTATAAACATTTAGTGTTTTTCTATTGACTCCTATACCAAAATGGTGGTCGCTAAATAGGCAGTTTTATATTTACGCAAACTTATTTATCTCAATATATTCTGTTGCAATTTAATTGAAACTTTTTAATAGTTGATCCAGACGAGCGTCTGAATGGAAAATTATCGGTACTATATGATCAATCTGACAAGCATCACCATCAGTACTTTCTGTGTGGTCTCTATTTAATGTTATGCCTCAACAATCAGATAAAATAATTAAAGTTAGGTAGTTAAGTTAAGTTTAGTTAAGCCTGGAAATTTAAGTAAAATCTTTAACATTTTCTGTCGGTGTAACGTCTATACATCTATAGTTTTATGTGCAAAACTCACTTTCATGGAAAACACAAGTTTTTATTTTGACTTACGTGTCTGGTGGTGCCCTGTTCACGTTAGGTTTGACCTTGTTGACCTGCCTTGTTGTGTTGTTTATGAGCTGGTTGGCCATCGGAGATAAGAGAGCTGTCGGCGCCGCACTCCGGTGGTTTCGGTTTATCACTGTAGAACATTTATGTTGCTTTACACATTTGTTGCACACAACGCCTACAACGGAAATTTGCAGGGTAGTTTCCTAATTCGCAGTTTGTAAGCTGATGAGAAGAGGAACAATCTCTTATATCTCTTACTCACTTTTCGGTTTAAAACGACGTGTGTATGTGATACGATATTTATTATTAATAGGTTTGAGAAAATAACAAGTCTAAAAGAAAGAAAAACTATTAGCCAACTTAGTTCAATTTCGATTATGAAATTTTTTGCTTCAGCAGCTGCTACATTTAAAATTATTTTTTTGTTATATATTCCAAACTCATATTTTGAACCTAATACGCCATCTAATATTTCAAATTCTACAATAACGTTGTTTACCGTAGCTACCTCAAGGCTTATATTTTACAACGAAGTATCTTGCTTAATTTGAAAAGCTTTCTCTCGATAACACATGTACTTACAACTAGTGTCTTCTCCTCTTTCCCTCGCAATTTCACCTGGAAGGCAATTATTGATGAGTATAGAATTGGAAAATTAAAAAATATCATTCGATTAGGCGGGGGAACTAATTTTGATAGGTAATGGAATTGATGCAAATCATTAAATTACTGTATCAGAAAAAAAAAACAATATTATCCACTATTGATTTTTTTATTATCGCCAATTGTACAACAGGGTTTATTTTTTTATTTCCCATTTTGTAAAGATAAACATTTGATGCAAACACAAAATGATTACAATATCTCACAGCGTTCATGTAAATAATGTTTTTCATTCAAGTCTACTACGAAAGCATACTAACAAGCATTCAGGGATACATCAGTTATCGAACGAAGAGATGCAATGCCATGGAGTAGTCGCTATGCATGGCACAGGGTACAAACCAGAAATGATAAAATATCCGCTGTAGAGTTTACCAAGAAGCACAGATCGATGGAAATCGTTTAACATCTCTCAATTATTTATAAATCATGATGCAAAATTAACATAACAAGATTTAGCTTCGTGTAGAACTCATAAATTAGGCATTGATCGCTTTAAACTCTGGGAGGTGAAGAATTACGGCAGTAACAGTGGATTGCTTTTCAGATTTTACTGATCGCTCAAGCGATAGGTTAAATGTTCTACTTCTTATTGCCGGTTACATGCCTGATAGAAGCATTAAAAAATTGTTTAGTGGCATTCATTAGCCACTACATTTAGTGCTCGCTATGAAAATGCGTGATAAAGCAACTAAGTGCACGATACCTTCTCATAACCTAAGGACGAAGCACATTACTGGTCGTTGAATGGAGAAGTGTGGGCCGATGATTTAAAAGGAAATAAATAAAAGAAAAACACTCAGTCCGTTGAGTGTGAGATGTACCTCGAACATGGACCTTCTTGGGCAACTCTGGCGGCGTGAAGGTGGGGGGAGGATGGTGGTCATCTGCAAAACATCAGCACAATTTCGCATTCCGATACACCACTGAATAAGTACAATACAAACTGGCACGATTACAGCGCGATGACCGTGATCACCAATTAATTATGATTTTAAAGTATAATTCATTAACGATATTGGATTTCAACTTCCAATAGGCTTAGCTTAGCTTAGCTTAGCGGTATATAAGCATTTACGACATGATGTAAAGTTGAAAACCAATATCTCGGATAAAATATTTAAAATGGAAGTTCCATTAATTTTCAAAACAGTTTTTTCAACAACTACAAAAACATTCACATGCAACAAACGGACATAGAAAGCAGAAACACAAAATGAAACACTAAACTAAGCTAGACAAGCATAGTGCTCTATAAATATATTGTTTTATTAATAACAATGAATTTAAAACCCTAGGTACAATGAGTTGAGACTAATGCACAGGGTAATGATAAATGAAAAGTGATATTTTTGGAAATCTAACCGAGCGTACTAACGTTATAATGACTGTAGGCAAATATAATTAAAATTGCATAAATGTACTTTTAAAAAGGCATTTGAAAATACCAGAATTTTCGCAGTAGCCAATAACTGCATGTCCAGACGTTTCTATCGAGGCGGGATCTAATCAAAATTAACTTTCCCTAAATAGGTTATGGTAAACAATTAAAAGTATTATCAATAGATAAGCATAAAACAAATTAAAAAACTTCATTTTACACTATTGCACAACATCAATATCAGAGGGACTATTCGATGCAGAAATCAAGGGATCAAAATACTTCCTAAAATATTTTGAGTATATTATACAGGTAATAAAACAACACCAAAATAAATAAACGACATCACAATGTCTCTCGATATTTTATAGTATCGTCTAATAGAGAGGCAAACATCTAACTGCTGTATAAATGCACATAGAGAAACGTAGACAAGACAATGATTACAGGACACGAGACTGCTATACGGGGCAGTACCGTTAGCCCCACCAACACCGGACATCTCGCTTATAAAAACATCACATTGACATTTACATTGAATTGTATACATGAGTTACGTACTTGCCCGGCCAACCATCTGGACGGCTCGTACGCCTTTCCTGAATGTAGCAACTAAACCGAGAAATAACATATTTAGCTCATCCATTGATCATAACTAATTTAATCATCCTGATTTAGAGGGTGTAACAGAAGGAATGCAAATCATAGGTACTTATGCTGACAGAGATGCAAAGCTAAGGAATTCCTCTTTAATATTAAGTACAGGAAACATAATGCTGGCCGATGCAATTCAATTTATTGATTCTAATCACCAACTACATATATCTACTTATATAATTGCCCCAAAAGCGCAAGATATGCAGCTAGAATATATATTATACAAGCCACGTTGGTGATTCGAATCTATCCATAGAGTTCCTAATATCGGGTATAGTGTTTGATAAATAGGCCTATCTTTGTCGAGTAAGCAAGTTTGTAGTTAATCTGCTATGTGTCTTAGCCTTGCTGCACTAGTCTAGCTGCGTGTAACGTTTAATTGTGTATTAGCGTATACTGCAGCTCAGTATATAATTGATCATGAGCAATGGTTAGTTTAACAAACAAACTAAACGTGTTGTGAGGTACGGTAATATGGGATAGCTCGCATTTCCATTCCGTACCGTCGAGGCAACCTCGATATGTATTAAGATTTTGTTTCACCATCCCAGTCTGCATCATCATCATTCCGACATCTGCAAAAATCCAAAAACTGACAACAACGAAGGTACGCTCCTATTCCATTGATGAATTGGGTAACGTTATGTTATTGTTTATTGGTAGGATCAAGTTCTGCTGACGGTAAGTTAATCATCCTAACCGGTGTTTATGTGTAAATTGAATTTGATCCTTCCAACCTGAATGATGATAGGTATAATGGATAGTGACAATTTTTTAGTTTCTTTGGACTTTGCGTTAGTCACTTTCAATTGCACAGACAAGCCGTAACTGCCGTCTAAAGTCTTTGTGTTTTCAAAGCTCACTCTTCATTTGGAATATATATTTTTTTACATTTTGACGTCACTCTTTTTTTTTTCTGAGACATGCTTTCATGGATAAAGTACATAGACATTATCTAAGTGTTTTGGGATAATGACGGTGCAACGTACACTTTGCCATTTAGTTCTACTATTTACTTGTTTACATGCAATATATACTGTCTGTGCTGGGCTTTGAAGTGCATCATATCAATTTTAAAAGAGTTCATAATCGTTTGCACCGGTTAAAAATTTAGATATAATTTTGAAGAGTGATAACAAAATGGTGTGGCCTTATTATACCTGATCAATGATGGGTTCGTGTTTGCAGCATTGAATGATGCACTAAATGCTCTCAATATCCATACAAATCAGAACAGAGCGAGAAATATCTCAAAAGGCATAGAAAATGGTGAAGTGTCGGAGTGCTTCATCGTATATTCACGAGCGGACATACACAATGATCACTAAATTATAGGATGTGAACGAGCACGGGTCAAGAGAATGCTTTGCAGCCGATCCAGTCTGTGAGGTACGGACGCAACACCACTAAAGCAACTCAAAATTATATAGACACGAAAATAAATATCGGAAAACGTCAATTTGTGAGGTTAGGTGTAGTGCAAGTTACCTATGTCGGCCCCGACCTTCCGCTGCGCGGTCACTAAAAGTCCAGCCGAATAATATTCCATTAATGTCTCACAAATAGAAAGTACACAGTGTGAAGTTGATAGCAAGATTTGCTGTGTCGTGTCCTTGAGATACCTACAGTGTGACAAGTGACAAGTTATTTGGTTCACTTAGTAAGGGATGTGTTCCAATGAGACTAATAATAAAGAATTATAATAGGACACAGCTTGTGAATCTTTTATAAACATTTAACATTGTTTCCAGAAAGAATGTCACAGAATCTTTATTTTATTTTTCATTTCATATATTAAGTATTAATTCGCTAACGGATCTTATAAAGAAGATTTTAAGTATTTCATTGGGTTAAAAAAAATCAATTTGGTGATCTTACAATTTTTGCATTTGCATTTCTTGATCAGTGTTTCATCCTTGATATCTTCGTGACAGGCTTTGCAGTAGTACCAAGCTCTGAAAACATTTATCTTACATGAAAAATTCAGTAAAATTAGTTTACAAATTTTATAATGCAAGTAACTTGCTAAAATTAGCAAATGTTATAAAACATCTGGTTAAAAACTTTATGGTTATTGTGATATGTAGTAGTTGTTTACCTTTTGACCTCGTCTGCAGATTGCGCTATAAAGAATCCTTGTGTATTGGCGTGGATCTTCGCGTTCCTAGGGTTGATGGAGATCTTGCTGTCTGCTCCCTCCTCTCCCTTAATTTCAATGGCCAGTAGTAGCAGCTTCAACTTCGTGAAACACAACCTGACAGGAAAATAATTTTACCCTCACATTATCTTCAAAAGATAATATTTTAATGATTCCATTTAATTTTTATCTGTTCTACTTCGTTATGTATATATATACTTAGATATCGTAATGGTAATGTTACCTACATTCATTCAATAATTTTTATAGTTAATTAACTTATAATCAGTTAACATTCATATTTTGTACAGTGTAATCTATATTATCAATTCTAGTAATGCATGCAACTTAGATAGCAAGCAGGGCTTCGAAATATGGATACAACTAGTTATTTTGACTTACCCAGTTAATTATGTAATAACGAAAAATATGTATGATGCATAAAAATTAGTAGAACATAACATAAACCACATACTTGACATGCAATATATTACATGACTGGAGAAAAATGTCAATGATAACCTTACTGCACTGAAAGAAAAGTGTCAAATTTATTAACTAAACTATTATATTTCCAAACGGGAAGCGAATAATGATTATCATACATTTTTGACGGTCTACTAAACCGTATACGGGGCATAATAAAAAAAAAATAACAACGAAAATAGTAACCACAATCTAAATATTTCAAAAACCTGAAGTATGAAACAACTACAAATCTAAAACTACTAGCTACAGACTATATTTATTTACCGTCGAACATTATTACCCAGTGATCATGCAATTCATTCTGAAACCAAAATGTTTATGAATCGTTCTGACTTAAGTACCATTCAAAATTCAACCTACGCCGTAAGTCTAAGATTGGAGTCGTTAGTGCACACAGATAGCGCGGCACACAGATTCTACGGTGCAGGGTAATTGGCCCAATAATTTGGGTTCTTACTCGCTCGCTTGAGGGAAGCTCATCCCCGTGAAAGAAGTGGACAGTGTCTCCGTGTACATCTCGCAGCCGGTACCCTGGAGGTAATCGTTCTGCCAAGCTTGAGTGTCGGGGGACTGCAATCAATCAACAGGAGAGACTAAAAGCTCGTGCCATGTTAGTGAGCCGTGGAAGGACTTCGAATACTCTCTTGGAATCATCGCCGACACCGCACGCTTCCCTAATTAGTTACATAATTAATTCTACTCTATACAGCATCATCTACCGTCAAAACAGAGTTATTCAGTGCAGTATTCTATGAAATTTCGAAAGGAACACCGAAGATCGTATCACGGAGAAAGCTGGCAACGCAAAAACTTACAATACACTAAATGAAGATAAGCTATGCAATAATATATAATCGGTTAGTGACTTTCTTCCCAGTCCCGGGGGCGTGGTGACTTATACAGTATGGACAGTCGTAGCCACTGTGTGTAACCTCACTTACTCTGCGGCGACACTGAACGGCATCCCGACAAACGTCACGCTCAATGTCTCGGTGTACATCTCCATTCCGGTGCCGCGCATGTAGTCATTAGTCCATATAGCCATGTCTTGGGACTGTGAAAATGCCGCATACAGAGTTATACAACAGTACATTCGAAACGCTGCTTATTGTTCTACAATCACTTTGCCAATTGGAGGTTAACTTTATCATAGCTTTAGAACATGTAATGTTAAAAACGCGATAACACACTTATAAGCGCGCACGACGTAATATTTGAAATGGCATTTCTGTAAAATAATATTATTAAAAAAATATATATTATAATTCAAACTCCAAAATCGCTTTCGAATGTACTTTTGGAAAAAAGTTCGAATAATATGTTGTTTAAAGGAAAGGCTGACCGTCTTGAAACTCCTCATAGCGAAGAGATTAGCCATCATTGTGGAGAAGCCAGGGGCGAGACAGCTCTGTGCGATGAAGCCTAGTTTCAATTCTGCCAAGCAAATAACATCGTCACCCTGCTTCCAGTCCCACGACGGAATGTTGAGAAGGTAGGCCTGAAAGGTTAATTTTATATTTTAAAAACAACAAAAAATTATAGCAGATTTTTTTATCCTTATAATTAAAATATAGAATAGGACTCCAATATTCCACATGACTAAGTACATGTTCATTTTCGATACATACATATCTTTATAATTATGTTTTTATACGTCCAATTTGAGCTTTTCTATCGTCAAGAAAATGGATCATGCATGCCTACCCCAACGTTTTAGATGACGAGGTTTGGCAAGTCTTGCTGACTTTTACACTTATCCACCTCTAAACATTGGGTTTATCATATTCACTTGCAATAGAATACCGTTACTCTAGTACCGTACCTTATTGTGGTATTGCATGAGCTGAATGATGACTCTTATGTCGTCCGAGTAGTTTTTGATGGAAATGACCCTCATGATGTTAGCTGCGTCTTCTGCATCTGGATCCTGGCAATATTTGTTGGCTAGCACCAGACAAGCGTCCGCTTCGTGCACCTATACATTAATACCGTTGAGGAATCCAAAGGAGTTAACATGCGTTTTGAAATCTATAATTTATTAGTTATATTAAGAGGTCAAGATTAACTTCTGCTTTTAATTTAGAATTTACTGTATTTAGAATATTAACAGTTAAAGCGAAAATCTTTATTATATCAAATTAAAGTAATGAAATATTTAAAATATATACATATAAAGAATAAACTAAAAAATAGAGGTACTTACGAATTTCTACAATACAAAGTTGACTACAAGCTGAGAGGAATGCATGAAAAACTATAATACAAACTTGCAAACTAAACACTCATGTCATTAGAAAATGTCCACTACATATTAGAGATACTTGAATAGAACAGTATCATTGACGAAATATTAGACTATATGAAATTCTAATAGGTAGAATGAAACTTTAACACGTGTAGTGGCCATTTAGGAAAAAGCAAGTGGGTGTTAAAATCTACCATGCACTCAAAGCGGAACATGCTGAAACCGAAGCCATGCACCAAAGTCTAGAACTTACCATAAACACTCGACAATATCGACAATCGACAACTGTACTTTAACTACGAATTTTGAATTGAAATTTTGAAAAGGAAACTCTTTCATCGGCAGCCAATTATGTTTAACGGATGTGTACAGTACAATAAATATCGATTGTTTAGAGTATGATCGCGGGCCATACAACACCAAAGGTCGGTACAGACAGTGAGACACAGGTGCCGCGCGGACGGCGGGCGGCGAAGGGGCCGGGGCACGGCACGGAGGCGCGGCACACGCGGCGCCCGAGCAATATGCGGACGCTCGCGCGCCCACGCCCCCACACACACGTTACAGTATAGCACAGGCACGCACATACAGCGCTCACAGAAGGGAACTTCACAACGCTCCGACAGGATCCTTCTCAAAAGAGGTTATAGTGAACGAGCATCGCTCTACGTCTATAGAAATGACAGTCTGTACAGCTTCAAACCGACACCACGCCCAAAACATCGCGTTCTACTTACTTTTACCCTCTGTAGGTCGATTGGGTTCATAATGGTGCCTTGAAAGAATTCCACAGTGGTAAAGTGTCTCTTGAACAGGCCTTCGAGCTCCAAGTCGGGCGGTTTCCTGTCATGAACGCTCAGTTAACACTACGGTTAGGACAGGTCGCCGACGTTCGTGGCCCGATCGTACCATGCAACTCTATTTACCAAAATACGCAGTCGTGGGGTGGAGCGGCGGCGCCTGCTACCAGGCGCCACCGGCCCACCGTGAGAAGCGATGATTGCATCAAAAGAATCACAAGATAAAGTTACCAAAGTGATAAAATCCTACTGTGACTATGGAACAGCATCTTAGAAGAAAAAGATCTGTTTTATGCACATAAACAAATAAAAATACTGGATCACGTAGACGCTTTTCAATGATAAATACGGCCGTGCGATAAACTAATGCCTGCTCTATTCGTCTTACTCTAACCTTGACTCGCTCAAGGTCGACGGCATTCATCATTGTACCCTGAAAAAACTCGACCGTGGTGTAGTGACGCTTCAGTAGACCTTCCAGCTCAAGGTCGGGTTCTTTTCTGAAAGCGTCGTTGGATACTTCATCATACACCGCTCATACAACGTTGTTGCAGTTTGACATTCGTAGTCTCTCTTTAATACTTTTTTATATTATACATTTAGATAGTTAGATAGTTATAGGTAAACCCTAGAGTTATGATTTTATTTCATACGTATTGCTACCTACTTTATTTAGAAAAAAAAACTAAACCTTAGTTGAGGGTCAATTTTAAGATATAAATATAACTTAAGCATAAAACTAATTATTTGTTGTGAATCTTGGCTGAAGAGCCACGAAAATTTTAAATTACTAATAAATATAGTTAAAATCTACGCACCTGTGTAAAAAAACAACCTCAACGTCCACATCTTCTCTGTCTTCATGTAGGAAGTCTTTTAAAAAATGGCTCACTGATTCGTATGTTATATGTCCACATACTACTATATGCCTGAAATTGTATTATCTTATTATAACAACATGTTATCAATTAATATTTAAAGTGCTGATTGTGCTACTATAAAACAGCTGTTTGAAAGTACAAATAAGCTCCGAAGCGAATTAACTTTTTTCAAGCTTTAAATTTTATCGACAATGCTTTAGGTTGAAATATGTATAGAAAATTGAAAAATTTACCGCGGCACCATTGACAATTCGCAAAATGTAAGCAGTGTAGCATTTGAGAATTGCAATGTTTAGGCTTTTTTATTTCGTTCAAAGCGAATCTGCAGTAAGCTCAGAAAAATAATCTTATAAATATATAAATAAGAGGTAAAGCAATTTGAAGTTTTATTTAACACCTGGGACCAAAGTTACATAACAAAAACAAAATCAAAAAGGTCACAGCAGGGTTAAACAAAACAATATGTGACATAAGCGTGAAAGATCTAGTTACTTGGTTTTGACCACGATATCCTTACTTCTGATCCAGTAGTGATAACTTAATCAGCAAATTGCAAAATAACGAATGGTTTATAAATTTTAGATCCTATTTATTTAATATTGAAAACAAAGATATCGTGTTCGATAACCATTAAGAATTTACAGTATATTTAAATCGTTCATTGACTTGTGGCATTATGAATGAAACAATTAAAATAGTTACTCTTAATTTACATTGAAATATATAATTCTCATAAATCATCCACAAGAAAATGAACCGTCTTACTATTAACTAGAAAGCTCAGTTTCGTTCAGGACTTGTGTAAATCTATCTACCACATTAGTAAAATAAACAGAAAAGAAAACCATAAACATAATGTTTACAGAACAGAAGAGGGATATGAGGAATCGTGTGACACTTGCAATGACGAACGTGTAGAAAATGGCATACAATACAGCCGCACAAAATAAATTAGCATTCATCGCAAAAATTATGAATGTTCTGTGAACGTGTGAAGGGTCAGTCTTGAGGTGGAGTTGGAGGTTACAATTATATCATTCAAGATATCTATTCACAGTGAAGTCTTATTTCAATGTAAAATATAGAATTTACAATATTTACAATAGTAATTGATTTAGTGCGTGCAGAGTTTTGTATGATTTTAAACTTACTGTATATAGATATCATGAAAAGCTTGCGTCTCAGTACAGTACTTTTTTTTTTGTAGTAAACGGGATATATGAATCAATGACGGCGTTCGGGTTACAGCCTCAAATCTTTATAAGTTCAACAGAAAGGGGTAACACAGCTTCAGAACAGGTGGGGTAGTGGCAGACAGTCGACAGTGTCGGTAATCATATGGGGTTTAATGTTATGGAAAACAAACCAACAAAAGATCCATTAATAAAACACATCAAACTCATCCAGAATAACCAGTGAAATAGAAAAGAAAGAAATAAAATACAGGTTGCTCGGAACTAAGCACATCATGCAAACTATATTCTCTAAGGTGTGGCAAAGGAACTGATTTCATTTTGTATTATATTTATTAAATATTACAAAATATCTACCTTTAATATTGACGATTGCAAACATCGTTAAAAATTTACTAATCAACAAATCCAAAACATTTTGTACAAATGATTTCGTGTATCACTGCTAAAATGATGTAAATCATGTCAAAAATGATATGTTGAAATCTAAATCTAAATTTGCGTTAAAAATGTCCTCAATGCACACAGCCTTGCCACGCTCTATGAATTTAACGTAAATACATTACACTAATTTAACCGAGGGGGTCGATCCAAAAGATACATTACAGATTACAAAACAGTAAGAGGGTCAACATTAAGAGTAGGTAAGAGTTACAGTACAGTTATAGACGTGCAGGGAGGGAGCAAGTGGGAGCGAGCGGACTCACTAGGTACGGTACGGGTACAGTAACGGGAGCGGGAGGGTCGCATCAACAGCACCAGCGGCCGACATCGGCCCGAGGGGCTGTCGACGCCTCGCACACCAGAACTCCAACAACACACTACGGTACCACTCAACATTTAACTCTCCGTAACTAAGCTTTACGTTAACATTCCTTTACGTATACTAACAGAACATAATCATGATACCTAGTATAATGACGAGCGATAACACTAGCCACTATCTGCTTTTCACTATTCAACTGAACTCAAATTCAAAGATATAATTTACAATCAATATCGACTCAAAAACAACAATTCAGGGACTCGCGTCCCGTCAAAGATAAGTGAGAACACAGAAGCGTGCTAAGAGAGGAAAAGGAAGATATAGATTTCACAACACGGAACACATTCAACGGAACGGAGTGAAGACAGCGGCTCACCTGCGTCCCCGCTCATTCTTGAGGGTGCCGCCATACTTGGGTCTAGTGCCGATTAAGTCAATTATCTCTGGGATACAACTGGCAAATATCGCCTAAACGCCGACAGACAAAACAAGACATTCACATTCAAATTGACGGGTAATTGGTGGGGGCCGCGGAAGTGAGCCGTCGGCCGCGGGGCGGACGGCTCGCTTGCGGGCCCCCAGGGCGCCGGCGGGGCGCGTGGGCGCGTGGGCGCGGGGCACGGGCGCGGGGCGGGGCGGCACGGGCGCGCGGGCACTGGCTGTGTGTGATCGTCGGGACTCGTGGCGAGGTGCCGGAGCTAGCGCTACAGCGTGGCGACAGGCATCGTGTGCAAGCGAACAAACCAAACACTACTTTCATCGACAGCATTACAAAACTTTACATCGGCTCTCTCCAGATCTAGTCTCGTTAGAAGGATTAAAAAGCTCAACGGTATCTCGAGTAAAATTTACGAAAAAAGGCATGTAGTAGTGCGTCGGTCGACCGCGCGCCTGTCTCTCTAGTTCGGGGAGAGGGGCGCGGCCGCCGGGAGCTAACTCTTCGAGCATGCGCCACGGCACCGAGAGACCGATTCTAGTGAAGGATTAATAAATTTCATTAGCAAACTCCGCATTCAATCAACCAAGATCGAAACCGTGAGAGGTAGGAAGGCAGGAAGCCGCGTGGAGCGGGGGCGTGAGAGCAGGGTACCTGCGGCGGACGTCCTTGTTGTACCGGCCGCCGTATTTGTTCCGCTGCGCCGCCAGCTCCGTGATCTCGGGGATCCAGCTGGCGAACACAGCCTACGATACACAGCAAACACCGTGAGGTGAGCGACCGCCCCTCCGCGCGCCCGCCCCCCCGGCCCGCGGCCGCGTACCCCCGCGCTCGCACAAGGCTGTGGCTCGAGTGTCGTCTGTCTGCGTGGTGGCTGTGGCTGTGTGGTGTGCGGGACTTGGGTGCCGTGCCGAGCTACGCTAGCGGGGCTGTGACCGGCGTAAGCCGTGACGGGACTCGTGACCGAGTGCATGCAAAGCCTAAGGATACATACGCTAACTAATCGATGAACAGAACTTAAAAAGAAATTCGGTTTCGCCGGTTCCTAAGCTAACGAGGGGCATTCGATATAGACGCTTGGTAGAGCGCGAACACGATCCGGCCGACGTGCCTCCTAGTCGGGTTAGCCTTCGCCCCGACTCTACATAGGACACCCAGCTCGAAAGCACAATGTGATCCTGTAGTGTGAGGGTGAGGAGCTTCCCACTTAAAGGTGCGGAGCCGGGCCGTGGACACGAGTAGATGACACAATACATCTGACGGCACTGAGCAAGCTTTCTTATAGTGATGATTTCACATTTTTTTCCGAGAGCTAGGGCGATTCAGATCCGACACGCGAGCGCGGCGCGTGTGCTACCTACCCCCCGCTTATGCCGAGAGATGAATCGCCTTGACTTTCGGCTTCAATGTATATATCAAACGGATACCTTTTTCCATGTTCACGCTTCAGCTCGCCACTGTACTTGGACCTACTTCCTACCAGCTCTATAATTTCGGGAATGCTACTAGCGAACATTGCCTGCAACAGACCATGGTGTCGATCGAAAATCGAGCCTGGCACGCGAACACCATCGCGTGGTGCACGACAATGTCCACCTCGAGTCTCGGTATTTAAACTATGGTGACGCAAAATCTTAAAGTGTAGCCGGTAGCGGAGCGAAATAAAAATAAAAGGAACAAGTGTGTGTCTACCGGTGATGTGAGCAACTGAACACAGCCAGGCACAGGTGCGGCATGCAGAGATCGCGAGGTGGGAGGGGTGGGACGCGGCGCGCGGCGGGGCGCCTGGCAGCGGGGCGCCTCCACTCCGGACACGACTACTACTCGTCACGGACCACGGTCCCCGTTACACTCCTACACTTAAGCGCGGTAAGAACTCCGGCCAGCACATTCGTGGTGAGTATCACATAACAAAGCAAAAGAAAAACAAAATGTAGTCATGCAATTAAATCGTTCGAAATTAAGCTCATTTAGTGTACGGCGATAGTTAAAAGGCTCCACTGAAATCGATCGGAAGCGGCCGAGAGAAGGCACACCGAAGGGCGGAGACGCGGCTGCGGCCGGCCCACACGGGGGCGGCGTCGGCCCCGTACAGTCCACATTTACGTCATGCTCTATCATAGATGGTGCACTAGTCAGGCTTACAACCATTCAACGAGCTGTGCGATTATCCACTTCTCTAATAAGTCCCTTGTGAACTATTATGTGACCATTTAGTTGGCAAGTTATTGTTATTTCCTTTTGCTTTGTTATTCGTATAGTTTCTAATGCAAGGAATCGCAAGAACAGCGATTTGCTGATACAGCGGTACGCTACTTGGATATTTCTTCAAAGAAACTTCATAAGTTAAGGCCTTCATTGTGAATTGCCATTACATTTCTATTCGCTTATGAAGTAAACACATGATTTAATCTTGCCTCTCCTTGCAAATATACTTTAGAGATCAAGTCATCATAGTGACGTTATATTTACTTTTATAATATTAATATAAGAAAGTTATAGTTAGTAGTGAATTAAAATGAAACTTACCAAGCCGACGAGGAGGAAAAAAACCAAAAACGTTCTGCCTAGCACAGTGTGACAGAACACATCACCATAACCTACTGTGGACATGGTGACTATCAAAAAGTACACACATGTCCAATATGAAAGCTTCTGCGCATTTTCAAATTCTAGCGGGTCGCCAGAGTTTTCCAGCTGAAACATTTCGATAGAATTAGATTGAGTCTAATTTTAGTCTGGCAAAAATTATTAAGTAACTTTGTAGTTTTAGACGACAGAGAGACAATATAAGGGCCCTATGGGTGACGTAGGTGAAGGATATGCACAAATAACTATATTTATATCACATGTACGATTGCGTCGTAGTAGAATAAACGTACGCCTTCTAATACCATTTCGAGTGAACGATCATGGGTGCTATAACTTGCCCTACAAAATAATGTACCTATGTGTGCATATAAGCTCATGTTTAGTACAACAGCTTTGGTGGTTGAAAGTGGACACACAAACGATATTGTATATTGTAAAGAAGATTTTCGGCGTACCTTTGATAATTAAAATACGGATAATCGATATATTACGTAATAAACTATAATATTTCGAGCAAATAACATGGAACTTACCAAATGAATAATGCCGGCAGCAGTCAACCACACTGATATAAATATAGAAACTAATTGCGCCAACCGAATTGAGCTTGATGTCTTTAATATATTGAGGTACTGCAAAATATCAGGCACGGTCATTAAGCGTAGAGCTCTGAGAAATCTTAGCCCTGAAAAGATAAGTTCACTTATTAAACACAATATCTATCCTACTAGGTCGATTATAAATTTAATAGAATTTTATCTATCACATATGTCTGCAGGTTTTAATGAAGCTTATGTGATTATCAACAACATTTTTGATAATGGTAATTTAGGTAACTGATGAAATCTGAATTCTGAACTTGATTAGGGGCCATCCATAAATTACGTCGCACGTTAAGGGGGAGGGAGGGGGTCGACGAAGTGTGACATTGTGTGACAAGGTGGTGGGAGGGTCCTAAATTTCGTGACGTCATATTTCAAAATCAGTTATAATCTAAGTGTTAAAAAAAAAGTTAAAACACGAACTTTAAACTATTACTTTACAAAAACCTTGCAAAATATGTAACATCACACTAGGAGTCTTACAAATGTGACCAGCTGTTACTAAAACGGGGGAGGGGCAAAAAAATCATGAAAATCGCTTGACGTAATTTATGGATGACCCTTAAATATTCTTACCTATCCACGTTCTATCCAGGTATATCGATACAAAGGATGGGGGTATCGTAAAATAATCTACAAATGAATACATCTCGAGCATGAACCATAGTTTGTCACTAGCTGCTATAAACTGAAATAGAGAAATATACAATTTTATTAAATTAATCGTTATTTAAAAAAAAGTGTTCTAGTATTTTTCTCTTTTCGGCAAAGTAATAATACTTCTTAGATTAGAGTATAAGTTGGCTTATGATTATTCTAAGAATCCCTCAACGAAGTAATTTATATGATTCATTTGCTCAATTTTTATCGGCCATAAGACGTTCTGACAAAGTGGTCTTGCGTAAAATCATTTTAGACGATTCAAAACTAACTTCAATAATTTTATTTGAATAAAGATAATTTTCAATTGACCATGATTGATTTATTTAAGGGCAAACCTAATCGAAAAACTGATTTCATGTTCCATTTTTCATCCAAGTCCCGAATAATCTAAAAATATAGAGTCATTCATGTTTCTTATGCTTAGTAAATGAATCATACTCACTCGTATAAAAAAGTAGACCATAAAAAATATGTTAAAGGCAAGGTCGATCTGCTGAGTAATATTGTCACTCCATTTCTGACATCGCTCCACCTCTTCACTGAAATTTAGACATCATTCATTAAGCGCAAGAACAATATATTATAACGTTACAACAAATATAAGGTGACATTCCACGGACAAGCCATTTCTAATGGAACACCTTCAGCTGACAAAGTAACATAAAGCTAATAAACATTTAACACTATTATCAGCAAGACAGTCGGATCACATTTATTTGAGTTTCACTCACGTATTCCTTATGATTTCAGCATTATTACAAGATATTATGATATTAATAAAACAGCTACGCATAGAAATTAATATATTTAATTAGGAATTTTTATTACCTGGACGCGTCAATGAAGTAGATGATCAGCGATGCTATACTCAGGATGAACACCAACACTACCTAAAACGAAAGAAGCGACGCAATCAGTAAATGTTAATTTAAGAAATCAGTAGAAGTTTCGTTCAAATATTACTACATAATAAACCCTAGAGAGAGAGAGGTATGTCAGGCAAGATCGAGCAAAATGGAAGGATGTGGTCTCTGCTACCCCCTCTGGAATAAGGGTGAAATTATATATAGATAAATAATCCCATCATTTAGTTCTAATATCCATGTTATTTTTCAATATCCTCCAATCCGCATTGGGCTAGCGTGTAGGGTCATTGCCCATCCTCCTTAACCATCCATAAGAAAGGCCTGAGCCCCTGCAGTGGGGACGTAAAAGGGCTGATGATGAATGAAGACAAAAATAAGCATTTCAAAGAATTGATATTCTCTGAATCTTTAACTATAATAAAACTAGACTCTGACCGAATCTAATAAATAACGTGGGAGCTTAGAAATAAATATCTCAGTAAAACACTTTCATTCGGCCACTTTCTGAGCAAACATATAACAGCTTTACAGATAGATGTAAATATCGTATAAGGAGGGCAGGGTTACAAAGGTATAATTTTCCCTGGGACAAAAAGGGTCACAAAGGTGCATTCATTATTCATTCTATCGAAAACCTTTTTTCCATTATGGTTTGGACATCCTAAGACACACATAAGAATCCGTATAGATAATAAATTAATATTTAGATTCATAACATGCACATCACTTTATCGTGATTAAATTTGCATTGTGAGTCACGTGCTCGAAGGTCAGGTGTATTTAAGCTGCCATCACCGTGATGTCATCTTGGCCTGAGTCAGGAAGTGGCTTAAAAATTAATATCTATGTAATCTATGCAAATTTTATAATAATGAATTGATTTAATTCTAATATGGTTTCTTAAGCTTTTTATTATTATTATTCATTAATATCATTTTTAGAAAATGGTTAACCTTCAGTTAGTTACATGGCATTTATGAGAAAGTTATTGCATTTAAATCGTTCGGTTTGTAAGTCGTTAAATAAGATAAAAATATAGAACAAGAATACATATAGTATCAATTTCGAACTTACTCATCCATTAGCTCTAATTATTTTGGTAATTTTGAGGACAAAAGAAAAACCTATGTAAAGCGTGATCATAGCATAAGGTAGCCTTCTCAGAAATTAACTCTTGACTAATTTTAAAAAATACATACATACATACATTAGGATAACCTTTTTCAGAGAATTCAAACAAGATTAATAATAAAGTGCCGGGGACTAAAGTGGATTTTAATAATAAAGTGGATTTTTAAGCATTTTTCAGTAAGAACATTTTTCAGTATAACATTGTGAATGCAAAATTCATCAAATACAATAAGATAAATAGTATTTGTTCTATTATATTAATTTTTACTGTTCTGTGAACAATATTTAATTATAAGATTATTATCATATATCATAGTTACCATGGTTATATACCAACCTATTTCAAGAAACTGATAATCTATACATAGTATAAAACAGATGTTTTTAAGTTTTAATAGATTTTAATGCAGTTTTCGTCAATATACAGATTAACGCAAAAATATTTTTAATCTATATATTGAGGCTTATATGAATAATACAGGACTCGGCGAAGCTGCTGGCGGAAACCTAGTTATAAATATTAAAAATAATAGTAAAAATAAACTTACTATATGATTTAGGTAATACAAAAATCTATTTTCTCATCAGCTTATTCAAGAAACTAAATAACCTTTATTCGTATACATAACTTCATTTCACTTTATGTAATCGAATACAAAGGAATACCGTACTAAGGGTTAAATTAAATTCTTATTACACAGAGCTCCACTTTAATCGTCTCCTTCCGACTGTTTACTTCAAGCAAATGTGGATTCCACATCAGTGAAACTATTTTTAAGCCATTTCACGCTTTATTGGATCAAGGGTTTTGAAACGAAAAGAGCCAAAGTTAGGAATTGCAACTAACCACTTAACTGGTGTGGCTGGCGTGCGGCCAAGAAACTTCAAGTCGTTACTTAAAAGATCTTTTAGCCTGTGGGAACGTTTGCTTTCCAAAAGAAGTGTGGGTATTCATCTCAATTTATTTTACAGGCTTAGACTTTATAGTTTGATTCAATAAAATAACTTCTAAAAACACCATTATGGTAAGATAATATGCCATAGCGGTTAAAAAAGGTTAGGAACCACAGCAGGCTGTATAGGCCACTTGAAAGGTTAGAAAACTTCGAAGCTATATATTTTAGACCATAATAACTTTATAGGGCAAAAGATGGCGCCTAATATATATTTTGAAATAATTAATTACATTGAAACTATAATGATTATTGTAAAAGTGTTACATATTACAACATGAATCATGTATTTATCAATTTTAAAGACATATACTTATAAAGAGTTAACTATGAAACAAAATCGAAAAATGAGGAAGTTTTGGTAAATTTTAGAAAATCACGTTTTGACTACAGCCAAACCTTTAGATATATAATTTAGTTTTCTCATTGTTAACTACAGTTTATTTAGACCTTATTTCTAACTACAAAACCAATTTGAAGATGGAGTCAATTTTGGTGTACGCGCTCTCTTAAATGCAATATAATAAGGACGATGACTAATTTTTGTATGTCCATCCGTCTGGTCATTGAAGGAAATTAAATACGTATTTTTAATGTTTTGCGTTATCAATATATTATGGCGATATATTGAGTTGAAATCTTGCATCACGTCACGCCTTAGTATATTTTTACATATTTGTGACTTAGCGAGCCCTCCTCAATTTTAATGCTTATTATCTAAGCTATTTCATGTTAAATTTAAGCAAAAAAGAAATACGTATCCAGTATCTTTTCATTATCTACGAGTAATATACGGACTAAATTTCTTGAACTTCTTTTCTTACCCAGTCATTAAGCCCAACCACATTTTAATTCTGACAAATGCAACGATTAACACTGGCGAGTTCTACTTGATGCTCAAATAATGTACACGCTATGTAAACTTGAACATCGAAAGGAGAAAAGTTAATTTAATGTGGGAAATCAGCTATGCTATTCAACTTGACGTCGACAGCATGGAGCGATATAAATTCTCTGTTACCTTTTAAAGTAGGTTTTATTTGATTCAACCTTTATGCTATGTTAGCTGTAAGGCTGTATTTATAAATAGAATAGCACTGCTGAAACGACGACGCCATAAAACGGACGCGATTAGACTACTTAATAGTCACAATAAAATTTGTTTTTCCTTGGTTCACTTTTCGTAGACAAAAGCTATGCCAGCCTCTTTAGATAATTGTTTTGTATATTTTTTTATTCAAATTTTTTGACTTATTGTCTATTGCTTTTGCTGTCTGTCTTGTATAATGAGGTCTTACTAATTTATCTCTTTATTAATTTACTACAGTTCACACTCCTAATGTCGATAATAACTTTCGTTTCAGTTTTAGATAAGGAAAGTGGCTGAAGATCATCTTAAAAGTGGTATGTGTTGTTATAAGATTACCTAGTGGTTGCATCGAGACTAAACGGATTACACACAGTGGTCGACATCCAATTATACTGGCCTGTATGTCGCATGCCGCTTGCAAGGCCATCTCCTTGACTTACAATGAAGGCTGCTGTTAATCTGAGCTGGAAAATGACAGCTAAGCTGCATTATCATTTATATTTAAACTAGAGATAATAGCTTCATAGAAATACGTTATTGAAACTTGACTACATTTTTTATACAACCTCACATTAACTGCTCTAATTCCAAAATGAATAGGCTAAAGCCCCCCAAACCCGAGACAATATAGAAAACTCCTTTTCTACATTAACCCGACCGGGAATCGAACCCAGGACCTCAGAGATGGCGATACCTTGAAACTGGCGTGCGAACGACTCGGCTACGGAAATCGTCAACTATACATCCTATTAATATTATAAAGGCGAAAGTTTGTAAGTATGGATGTATGGATGTTTGTTACTCTTTCACGAAAAAACTACTGGACGGATTTGGATAAAACTTTACAGCAATATAGGTTATACATCAGAATAACACATAGGGTACTTTTTACTGGGAAAACTTCTCACTCCCACGGGATACCGACTTCCACGCGGACGAAGTCGCGGGCGTCCACTAGTGACTAATAATGACCTATGTCACGGCGATTATAACTTAACTTTAAGAACGTTAAAGAAATAAAAGGGACGTTAATAAAATAATTATTAAAATAACATCGGAGAATATTAACAATCTCTTTTTGAAACTCCAATTACCTAATTTATATTAATAAAATTCCATTTCCGTCGGTGCTTCGTTTCTCAATTTTTCGAACCCGAGGGTTTCCTCGAGTGCATCCCGCTCACACAGCGGATCAAAGCGCTTTTATTACGGACACTCTCTCGGAACGAACGACTCCAATTATAATAGAAAGCTAATCCTCTGTTTGAAGTCGCGTTCCGATATTATTTATTTAACGGTTCACTTATTCGGTTGAATCGGCTCAAACGAATGTTTTAATTTTAAAAGAGATGCATATTTGATAAGGGTATTCCAAACCGTTTTCCTTAAATATAGTGAGTAGTGGAAATATTTTAGCTGTGCTAATGAGTTTTATTATTTTTACATATATTCATTTTCAACTCATTTCTTGAATAGTGTCGGCCCGGTAAATCGTGTCATTAAACACCGCAGTAAATGGTGGCATGCTCCATTGGTTCGGAAATGTGGTAAAAGTGACCGAATAACGGATGATAGAATGTCGAAACAATGAGAAAATAGAAGTATTTAGAAGCCAAGTAAAGACACCAGATAGGTACGAGTACCTTTCACGATTAAATTATTTGCATGCCATTGAAAAGTTAAAAACATGTCTTTTCTCTCTGGCTACTCCACAAGAAATCTGGCGTGAAGATACAGATAGACAGACTGACACTATTAATTAATTCAGTAATTAACAGGAAAATATAGCTTCCGATAATGAGGTCACTTTTATGCATTCTAACACTGAAAAAGATCGGTTTCCAGATCTT